TGACATTAGGGCAGAAGTAAAGGAGAAGATGGGAGAAAACAAAAAAATAGACATGAGTGATGAAGACAAAGAAGATTTTAAAAATGCTAAAAACTGCTTTATTTGTGGAGACAAGTTTAGAATGAACTATAAGAATGCCAAGGAAGCAGAGAAATATAGAAAAGTTAGAGACCATTGTCATTTTACAGGTAAGTATAGAGGTTGTGCTCATAATGTTTGCAATCTTAATTTTTGTAATAGATATTTTAAAATTCCAGTATTCTTTCATAACATGAAAAATTATGACGGTCATTTAATTATTCAAAATGCTGATAAATTAAGTAACAACAATAAAATAGGTGTCATCGCTCAGAACAGTGAAAAATTTATTAATATCAGTTTTGAAAGTTTGAGTGTTAAAGACACTTTTGGGTTTTTAACTGCTTCATTAGATAAGTTAGTTTCAATGAGTAAGTATGATAATACAGATGAAGAAGATAAAAGTAAATGGTTATTGCGTGAAAACTGGAAAGATAATTTTAGGTTCAGTAGTAAAAATGATTTGATTAAGAGTGAGAAATGTCTAGATTTATTAACTGATAAAGGCGTTTATCCTTATGACTACATGAATTCATTTGATAAATTTGATGATGAGCAATTACCGAGTAAGGATGATTTTTATAGTCAGTTGAGTGAAGAAGGTATAAGTGTTAACGACTATGAAAGGGCAAAAATTATATGGAAGCATTTTGACATTAAGAATATGGGTGAATACCATGATTTATATTTGAAAACTGATGTATTATTATTGACTGACATTTTCGAAAATTTTAGAGATGTATGTATGAAATATTATGGATTGGACCCTGCTTATTATTATACATTGCCTAACTTTGCTTTTGATGCTATGCTTAAAATGACTGGTGTAGAGATTGATTTAATATATGACCAAGAAATGTATGAAATGATAGAAGCGGGACTTAGAGGAGGGATGTGTATGGTTTCTACTAAAAAAGTTGAAAGCAAATAATAAATACATGGGAGAAGAATATGATAAAAATAAAGAAAGTAGTTATATTAACTATTTTGATGCTAATAATTTGTATGGGTTAAGCATGATACAAAAACTGCCATATAAAAATCTAAAATGGGATGATACATTAAAAGAAGAAGACATTATTAATTACAAAAATAATAATATTGGATATATTCTAGAAGTGGATTTAGAATATCCTAAAGAATTACACGATTTACACAATGACTATCCAATGGCACCTGAGGTTATGAATGTTAAAGCCAACATGCTGTCAGATAAACAAATTGAAATTTATGAATTTTTAAATCATAAAAAGCCTACGGATGAGAAAACAAATAAATTAGTATTGAATTGAAATGACAAAGAAAATATGTAATCCATATAAGAACCTTACAATTTTATTTGAAGCAAGGGTTAAAACTTAAGAAAATTCATCGAGCAATTAAATTTGAACAAAAAGAAGTTTTAAAACCGTACATTGAGTTTAACACTGAGAAGAGGAGGAATGCTAGAAATGATTTTGAGAAAGATGTTTATAAATTGATGAACAATGCCATATTTGGAAAAACAATGGAGGATACAAGGAAACATTTGCATTTTGAGGTTGTTAGTGATGAAACTAGATATATGAAGTGTGTAAGTAATCCTAACTTCAAACATAGTCATCTCATTAATGAAAATTTGGTTGGAGTTGAAAAGCAAAAAACAAAGTTGAAACTAGACAAACCTATATTTATTGGGGTGAGTATTTTAGATTTGAGTAAGCAACACATGTATAAATTTTATTATGACGTTATGAAACCTAAATATGGAGATAATATTAAAATGGTATATACTGATACTGATAGTTTTGTATTTCATACTAAAACCAATGACATTTATGAAGACCTGAATACAATTAAAAAAGAAATAGATTTTTCAGATTATCCTAAGGAACATAAATGTTATGATGAGAATAACAAGAAAGTATTAGGTAAATTTAAGGATGAGTTACAAAGTAAAATAATAACAGGGTTTATAGCCCTTCGTCCTAAATGCTACGCTTACTCAGTTTTTTGTGATGAAAAAGAATATAAGAAATGTACGGGCATAGCAAAAGGCACAGTAAGACGTCAAATGAAATATGAAGAGTTTGAGACGGTTTTAAAAACTAATGAGGTTATACATAAGTCATTTAATAGTATTAGAAGTAAAAACCACAGAATTTTTAGTATAACAACTAAAAAAGCTCTTAGTAGTTATGAAAACAAAAAATATTGGATAGATAGTATAAACTCACTTGCTTACGGTCATTATAAAATAAATTCTTTGAAAACGACTTAAAGAAATATTGACTTAATATATTAAGATAGAAATGAGTGATACAGAAAGTGAATATAGTGAATATAGTGATGTAGAAAGCGTGTATAGTGAATTTAGTGATACTGTCCATGAAGATATTGATGTTAAAAACATATTGAAACAAAAGTTTATGAATTACAAATGTAAAGACTGTGAGATGCTAAAGTTAACAATTCAACAGGGTTTTATAGATAGTGTTAGTAATAATATTTGTCAATATATGATATGCAATAATTGCAATAGAATTATAAACAAAATTGATTATATGAATATCGCAGATTTTGATACTAGAAATGCTGAAACTCTTGATGATGATTTAGAAATATTTTTTTTTATTGAAATGAATAGGTTCTATACTGAAAAAGAATATGATAATGTATTGGATAATGGATATGTGGATGGTTTTATTTATAAGTATTATAGAATGGTAAAAAGATTATACAATATGTCTTTTAGCATTAAACTTTTAAAATACGAAGCATTGAATGATAATGGCTTTGATTTTTTAAATGAGTTTATAAGTTATAAGTATAAAGCTCTTGAACTTAGATATACGGCAAGACTTGCAATTAGTGTATTGAAGGCGTTTGTAAAAGAAATAGGAAATAATATTTATAATCGAAAAACAGTTGATAAAATAGTGAAACGAATTGAAAGAGAATTTTAACATTAATTAGAAATAGAATTGAATTCATACTATAATAATAACATGTAAATATTATATGTTGTAATTATAGTTTGTTTCTTTTTTTCTTATTGCCTTAAAAATGACTTAAAGAAATAGTGCCTTAATATAATAAGAGGAAAATGAACGGTGATGAAATCAATAATTATATCAATAAACAATGCTATGATTGTTGTCACTTCAAAAAAGAAAATATGGAATTGTATAAATTAAATTTACCTAATGGAATAATACATAATATTATTTATTATGCTTTGGGTAAAGAAGATTTGTGTAAAATTTGTAGAAGATGGAGACGATATCAAAATATAATAGAAAATATTTTGGAGATTAAAAAAATAGATGGAATAAATGTAGAAGATGATATTTCAATATTTTTAACTGTGTATAAAATACCACCGTATGATTATGTTAAACAGTTTCTTAAAATCAGTAAGAAAATATGACATGATTTATGATATATTATGGATGTTGGGATATAGTCAAGAGAAAGGAGAAGATGTTAAAGAAAATATCAAATTATTTATTGAAAGTAAAAAGTTTAACATTCAAAATACACTGAGAGATATTAATACTATTTTTAAAATGATGTATGAAAGAAGTAAGACAATCAATTAAATTATTATCCTGTGCTGAAATTATAATCATACTATAATAATAACATGTGAAATATTATATGTTATAATTGTAATATATTTATCGTTTGTAAAGATTGAAATATTATATTTTCCTAATTTGCTTATCTCTTTCAAAGTGCGTTGTTTAGACTTGGTATGCTTCTTCAATTTTTTCGTGCTTTGGCTGTTTGTTTTTGTTTTGTTTGATACTCTTGTGATATTTTTTGTTGGTATGTTGCTTTGTTTTTTGTTGATGTGTGTTTTTGAGTTTGGGTTCTTTGATGATTTAGAGTGTTGCTGTTTTGTTGGTATGCTTGTTTGAATTATTTAATGTTGTATGCTGTGATTAAATATTTTTGTTGCTGGTTGTGATTATTTATTTTGTTTGCTTGTTGTTCTGGATTTTGTTTTCTGTTTGTTGTGTTGCTGTTGGAAAAAAAATAGTAGAAAGAATAATTCTTTGAATTCTCCTTTTACTATTTTTCCCCCTCCCCCTCCCCCTCCCTCCCCCCTCCCCTCCCTCCCTCCCTCCCCTCCCCCCTCCCCCTCCCTCCCCCTCCCTCCCTCCCCCCTCCCCTCCCTCCCCTCCCTCCCCTCCCTCCCCCTCCCCCTCCCCTCCCTCCCCTCCCTCCCCTCCTCCCTCCCTCCCCTCTCCCTCCCTCCCTCCTCCCTCCCTCCCTCCCTCCCCTCCCTCCCCTCCCTCCCCTCCTCCCTCCCTCCCCTCCTCCCTCCCCTCCCTCCCCTCCCTCCCCTCCCTCCCCTTGGCCGGGATACAGTTCAAGGCAATCCTCCAATCCAGAGTCTCGACCATGCGCAGCCTAAACTCAAAGTAGCCCCTGGCGGTGGAGATCAGGGGGGTGTTTGGATGCAGAAGACCCACGAGAGGTCCGATGGAGCTACAGCCAAGCGCATGTTTTTGGTCGAGAAGTCTGTGAAATGCAACTGGCAAACCTGCAGCCCTGGCAGGTGCCTGAGGATGAGTCGCAGAGACCAGGCAGGTCTTGGGCCGATGCCTGGCAAAGGGCTTTCTCCAACAAAAGCCTGAATAACCTCACCAAGGCCTCACCACTGGTTGCCTTTCTCAAAGGTTCCTCATTTCAGGGTACCGTGAATACACGGAAGAAGCGGCCTCACGAGCGCGCGATAGAAGCTTTCCGGTGAGTTTCCCGTCACGACCTTGCCAGAGATGTCAACACACATTGAGCTGTCAATTGCAGCCCATGCCTGGAGCGTTGCTATGCTTATTTTTTCTGATGCGGGCGGATTTTCGCTTTCTTCCGCCTGGGCTTGCGCCGGGCGGTTCGTTTCAAGTTGGCATGTCAAGCGCAGGACGGTGTCTCTGAGGCTTTCACGGCTCCAAGTGACAAAGGCAGCCACCCAGCAGAGTCCCACAGCGCGGAAAGATGGCGCGCGTTAGGGTGCTGGCCGTCGCCGCTTGGCGAAGGAAGGGATGATGTGGTGTTTGCCAGGCTTCGCCGGTCTTTTTGGCTTGTCACCTGCTCCTTGTTGTTTTCCGTAGCATTCTTTCAAAGGTTCCCCTTCAAACAAATCAGGGGCAGGCTATGCTGCAAAGCTTCTCATCAACTGCTGGGTTGCACAAAAGCTGCAGGACTTGCATGACAGTGGTGGCATTTTGCCCCGCTGCTTCTCTTGACATGTGGCGCACTGCCAAGTAGTTGCAAGCATAGTTGCACCAAATGGAGAAGATACATTTGACAAGAGGGTTGCAAGGCAGGGTCTGGCTGTGTCCGGCGCATAGTCCAGCGCATATGAAATGAGACGGGAGCCAGATAGAGGAAGCATCGCAAGGCCCGACTGCGCATCTGGACATGACCTGGCTTAACTTCAAGGATCTGATGCTCCTCAAACACATCTTCAATGACCTTGCCAGGAGTGACTGTTTTTCTTCTTCTTTTTGTTTCTTTCATATTTTTCTCGACCGCCAGTCTTGCAGCTAGCGCTGGGTTGTCCATTGTGGTGGCCTTAGGGAACGTCGTCGTCTCCCAAAAAGGGATCCGCTTTCATTGCCCAGGGTCACCGGGCAACTGGATGAACGCATGTGACAACTTGTGGAATTGAATGGTGCAGCCTGCAGCCTCAGGCTCTGGTCTTCTTGGCTCTGCCTGCAGCCTTCACAGGCGGCGCCTCGCTCGGGAAGTCACTGCTGTGAGTTCGTCCATTTGGGTCTGTCTACTTTAAGTTCTTTTGTCTCTTGTTGGGAACCGATTCCAATGGTGGTTCTCCTTTGGCTTCCCTTTTAAAACCACAGGGGTACCCTCAAAGACGGGCCGTGTTGGTGCTTGCGGGGAAGCGCAACAGAGGGGAAGTTCTGACTCTTGGTGCATCGTGTCAAGTACGTGGGGTGGGAGAGGTATTTGTTTCAGCACGGCGCTTATCATGCCCAAAGGGCATGGTGCCGTTGACATTGTTTTGCTCCATGATGAATGTTCTCCAACTATCGATCATGGAGCTGTTAGGACTTGCAACAGCTCGCCTCCAAACCGCGCCATCACTTCGCGGGATTTGTTCGCTTGGAAGGCCCGAGCCTCCGCATGTCCAGGGTTTGTCGAAGCCCTCCGAGGCTTCGAGCGGCCGCGAGCAAAGACGCCGCGCGTGCCGTTGAAAGCAGATGCCATTGGGCAGGCGGGCTGGGCGTCGAGTGTTTTTTTTTGGGGCTGCGAGGCCGGGAGCCGGCACAGGTTTGGCTGTGAGGCGGTCGAGCCTTGCTGTTTGGTTCGCAAGTGAAGGCACTTCTATTTGCTGGATGGTTTTTGGCCATCACAATGTCTCCGCTGTCTGGTTCTTGTTGGACGCACGAGGGATTGTTGAGCACTGGCGGGCGGGCCTTTGCTGATGGACAAATTCAGCTGTGAAAGATAGATTGCATGAAAACATGCAAATGTTTTGGAACACAATCTCAGACAGCATTTAGTGAACGTATTCATGCCCTTAGCTTATTGGAAAGAAATGGACGAGAGGATAGCGAGGTATGTGGAGAGCATTGATCCGATTTCGCCTGTCAAGCTTCCATTCCTGAATGCAGGCAGAGGAGCAAAAACGATGTTAGGGCTAAAACGATGTTGTAGGCGGCCAAGGTTTTGAAAATCTTGGACAGGCTACTGAGATCTGTGGGCCCATTACACTCATTTTCCACTTCTCCAGTGCAAGCCTGAGGTATTTCAGTTTGCTTGATGCATCTTCCATCTTCTTTTGGAGGGGGACCCCCTTTCCCAAAACAGCAGTTTCCGTTTGGTTTTCCATTCGAGCAAGGCGGCACTTTGGGGGTTCCCTGAGTTCCCTGTCAACAAAATAGCGGCGCGCACGTTTGACAACTTCCTTTTGCGACGCATCGACGCATCGTCTGCGCGAGTGCATGGGATGCGCGCAGGCATTCCAGCTTCCACCGGAGAAGGTGGTTGAGGCTGGCGGGGCAACCTGAAAATCGGTCAAAAGGGGATGCCTCTCTTGGGACATGTTGCGTCCTAATTGGAAAAGAAGAACAGCAAGAGCACCGGCGTCCTTATTTTTTGGACATCCCTTACCAAGGCAGGGCAAAAGCTGGAGAGACTTTTCGGGAGCCGCAATTTTTGCCAAGTAGTTCAGTTTTTTTTTTTTTACTTCTTTACCCCAAACGCAGCATACGCGAAACCGATCCATTTTGCCACCTGAAAGCTGAAAGCTCCGAGGCCGTGAAGCGTGCTGGGCCGCGGGTCACTGCCGCGGACGTGGCGGCGAAGGGAGGGTTGAGCCTTCAGGAGGTGCCGTGGGGCGTTTTGGGGTCGGCGCGGGTGATCTTGGGCTGAGGCCTGGGGTGGGGGTTGGGGGTGGGGGGGTTGGGGCGGTTGGGGCTTGGGGGGTTGGGGGTGGGGGTTTTGGGGGGGAGCTTGGCGGGTTTTGGGTGGTTTCTAGAATGGGAGACTCGAAATGGTGAACCTGCAGCTGAAGCCCTGGTAGAGGGTAGCATTGGTCCTGCATGTTGTTCAGCTGAGTTCTGGACTTTTGCATCGCTGATTGATTTGTTTTCCTTGTAGGAACCCGAATCCTTGAGAAAGGGAAACACCCTCTGCAAAATCAACAGTCAACAGTGTTCGCAAGCTAGTACCTTGGAGTTTTCAAAGCGTCGTCCTTCCACTGCTCCGTCCCCGCCTGTTGGTGAGGTTGAGGCGCAACGTCTTGAGGGAAGCATGGTCTGTGTGGGCTTGGGATGGGTCCTTGTGTCGAATTATCTGTTCTTCTTGGTTCGGGCTTTGCATGGATAGGCTCCTGTCTGTTTGGCGTGGATGTGTTTGCAGATGCCGTGATATGGATGGGCCGCGGTGAAACCTTGCCGCATGGTTTCTTCTCATGCTTTTTGCTTCAGTTCTGTGCGTTGGTCAAGCGCCGTGTTGCTTGCTCAGGTGGGTGTGGCCAACAAAAAGTAGATTCATGACACAATGTGAAGCACCCAATACCCAAAGGATTCTTGGGCTTTGTTTCGGACGAGCTCTCCTTATGCCATCCTCATGTGAGGCTTCAAACTGGTGAGAACGACAGGGTTTTGAACCAGTGTTTTGAACCAGTGTTTTGAAACCAACTGAACACAACTTCAATTTGAAGGAGGGTTCAAGCTGGTGGAACGTTTGCCGTATTTGGTGGTTAGCACTTGGCCCCTTCAAAAAAAGGAAGAAAAACCGCCGCCGGGCAACCGCCAGGCCCGCAAGGGCGTGGTGGAGCTGGCAGCTGCGCTGGGCGAGGACGCGGAGCTCCAGGTCTCCAAGGAAGGCCAACCGGTCGTGTGCTCAGCCCCTTAAAAAATGGGATTTCGGGGAGGGTGACCACTGGAATTCTGTTTCTGGCGTCATTTTCCCTTCTATGGCGACTCGATAAATGGACTTGGGGACTCCCCACCCCCCTCCCGCTTCTGGTGGGTCGTTTGGTTTTCCTTGCTGCTGCGAGAGGCAGGGAAAGAGAAATGGAATGACCCCGAGATAAACCATCCGACTGATGGTTTCCTTTAAGGGGACCAAAGATTCCCTACCTATTGCACCAGCAAGTTTCAGGCGCTTAATTGGCTCCAGGCAAGTTACGTGCTCTTGGGTCAAAATGGGGCTGTTGCCAAGTGGTTTAGCTGATTTTGGCTGCGACTTGCGGCAGGAAACAGACACGCCTGAGTGCTTGATGAGACCTCGGCCCTTGCAATGCGCTCAGTGGCCCTATGGCCTGATTTGGAAGGATCACACGGTTTGACAGTTGGTAGGGAGAAGGAAGTCCTGTTTGGATCTTCATTTGAATGCAAGTCCCGTGGTTCATGGTTTTGCTCGTCTGTTGGGATGGTTTATTGGGGTCATTCCATTTCTCAATCCCTGCTGAGCACCAGCAAACATAGGTTTCCTTTTTTTGGTTGTTTTGGTGGAAAATATATGGCGATTCCTGGTTTACCTGGTGGTTAAATCATCTACCAAAGAAACCCATCTATTTGCCCTAAAAGGACACCTATGCCAGCAAGGGTCGTTCGACCATGCCAGGTGAAATCGTGTACCGCTTCCCCTCGAACGTGCAGGTCGCCCTATCGAAGGCATCCTCCGCAGCAGCAGTGCGCGAGGCTGGGGATAGGAACCGCTAGTGCTATAGGCAGGGATTGAGAAATGGGATGACCCCTATAAATCATCTGTTGTGGTTTCCTTTTAAGGGGACCCCTGGGTTCATTCCCTCAATCCCTACTGAGCACCCGCAAGCAAGCTTAGCCCTCTCCATGTTGGATGAACTTTGGAAAGGGTAGCGTGCCAATGGCAGCGCATCCGCGGAGTTTGAAGGATCCGGTGCAATGGCAACGTCACCCGAAGCCAGAACTTGGCTCGCGCCGGAACAGCTGGAATGGACCATCGGAGTCCGCAGCTATTGCTTGTCTGAAATCGCAGCTCGCAGGCTTGGAACGCAGCCAAGCCCACCGCGACTTGGCAAAAGCAAAAAAGCGCTGGGTGGAAATGGCGCTGTCTTTAGAGCGCAGGGCTGGCATGGTTTCGCCCCGCCGCAAATGCTTTTCTAGAACTGCTCAGGCAAACCTGGCCCACGACCTGGCCCTACCCACTCATTCCCTACTCATTCCCTACCTACTCATTCCCTACTCATTCCCTACTCATTCCCTACCAATTCATTCCCTGGAGGTTCATTCCAACTTCTTCCTTGGAGGTTCATTCGCCCACCTGGCCCGGGCTCCTTCCTTTTCTCCTTCCCTCCCCGATTTCTCGCGCCGATCGATCGCTCGCCGGCGAGCGAGACATTTTCGCGGCGAGGTGCTCACGGGGCTGCGCTGCATGTTTGGGGTGGCGCTCTTCGCCTCCATCGCGGTGATCTACGCGGCCATCATCGCCATCTCCACCTCCAGCTCCGACCGGGTCCGACCGCGGGGGGGGGGGGGGACCGACCGGGAGACCGACCGGGGGAGACCGACTGGGGGAGACCGACCGGGGGAGATTTTGGGGCGGTTTTGGAGCGGGAACCCTTAGAACCCCACGGGGGGCACAAGAGTCGCGTGATTTGAGTGAGACACTTGGTGAGTTCGTGGACCTTGGCCGCGTTTTGAGGCAAAAGTTTGTTGGAAGTTTTCGTGGCCAGTGGACTGTCCACTCGGGAAGCGGCTCGATAGGCAGGGAGTGAGAGATGGGATGAATTCGGGGGAGAAAAGAAAGAACACAATTCCATCCGCGAGATGGTGTCCTGTTTTCGGGAATCCCCTTCCGGTTCATTCCCAAAACCCGGAAGGTCATGCCCTACTGCACCGGCAAGAAAATGAGCCATGACAGTCTACGCACGTAAAGATTCTGCCACTGCCGTCGACCCTGCGAGATATTGCGAGTTCACGGGTCAAAAGGGTGCAAGCGAGCGGACATCTACGATATCGGTTCTTTATGCGGGCAAGCCTTATTCCCGGCTGGGGGGGTTGTTTCCCCCTCCCCCCCCCCCCCACCCTCCACTCTTTCAAGAGTGAAGGTTCTCTGCAGTGAGGCGCCCCCGATCAAAATCAGTCATTGTTCCCATCCGGGGCATCAAATAAATCCTTGGGCATAGGAACAACTCTCTTTAGCGGCGTGGGGATTGGATGGTTTTGACTCGCAAACTGGTGGAAGGGAGCCGCCCCGGAGCTGGGGATATCCAAAAAGTTTGCTTTTTGAAAAGGGGAGCCAAGGAGCTATGAGGAATTCTGTAAGGCCATCTAGGTCCCCCAGTGGTGCCCTTTTACCTTTTTTTTGGGGAGGGTTCGCCTACTAAATTAGACAACTGAAAAAAAGGGCACAAATATTCCAACCTACAGGAGGACCTAGACATGGTTTTGTCTCAGCGGCGCCCGCTTTGGGCAACATCTCTCGTGCGTTGTGACGGCCTGTGGCGGCCAGGATCGCGACGACCGGCGTCGGGGGGACTCCTTTGGCGGCGGTGGCTTTGACATGAGCTTCGGTCCCAGGCTGTACTACGGGTCATCGCTGCTCGGCCACCAAAACACTCAACCCATGTTGCAGGGATCTGGAATTTCAGGAGGACTTGTTGTAGACTGTGAGGGGTTCAATGTTGGTTTTCTGGTTTTGGTCCAACTTCAGGCCGTTGGCTGCATTCGTTTTGCGCAGGGCGGTACCTCGGAGGGATCGTTTTGAGGCCATTCGATGTCCTGTTCTACCGGCCGTACACCGCACCGTACCGCCACTGGGGAGATGAGTTGCCTGGCGGCAATCGAGAGCCAAAGTCGAATTTGATGCCTGCACTCGGGATGGGCGTCCTAGTCCTGCGTCTGGCAGGGCACGAAGCTGTGGGGCGGGTTTCGGAAGGAATCCAGGGATTTTCCGCATCGTGGCCGATGCTGTTGGGGATTCGTTGTGGGCTTATGAAGTCTCTCTGCCAAGGTAGGCCCAGATGGGGCGTATCCCAGGGTCACCGTTGAGGTTCATGGCAGTAGTCTCAGTGAAAAAGCGCGTGACTTGTCCCATCCACCCCAACCCCACCCCCACTCCACCCCGATCAGGCGCAAAGGGTCCTCAAGCCATGTAGAACGACATGATGCTGGTCTGAGTGCGCAAGCGAAAACAAACCTTAAAACATGACTATTCACGCGACACCGAGAATTCAGGAGACCGTTTGCCCAGGTAAGTGTAAGCGCTTCGTGTTGCCAGCCTCGGCCAGTCCGCTTTTGGCTGGCTTTGAGGTATACACCGTGCTTTAGTTTGCGTGTTTCCACATGGCTTCAAGGGGCAGACGACAGCTGCAGAGAGCTACAGGATGGCAGTGAGCTTGGGCCAAGCGAAGGTGAATATGACTGGTTTCTGGGGGGGGACCGCTTCCCTGCCCTGGGGACCGAGGCGAATTTGTGCTGGCAAGCGAGCATAAAGAAACAAATCCGGATCAGCGTCGTTAAGCGAAACCAAGCAAGCGGTTCCGTCTCAAAACGTGCTACTTGTAGGTGCCAACAATGTTAGACCTGGATCAGCTATGGAAACTCATTTATGCAAGACACCCGCACATTCCAGCGAAGTAGGATCAGTTCGGGCTCCCAACACTGCGCTACCTTCTCGCCAGAATGAAATTGGGTGGGTGGGGAAGGGGGGGGGGTGGGGCCATCAAACACCGGCGGCCTTCCGACCCAGAAATAGAACGAAGCAACGGCGTTGACTTCAATTGTGTGGGGTGCCAGGCACGCCCTTTACTTACTTCCGTCAATATTCAGCCTCTGGCACAGTTGAATGACCCCGAATGAAAGCGCATGCAAGGAATACGCCGTCAACGAGCGATGAAACCAGTTCATAGCCCTGACAAAGCTTGGTGGCCCAGAGGGACTTGCAGCCATCCCCTCCCACTAAAACAAAGGACATTTTTTTTTGAGCTTTTGCCAGTTTTTTTTGGCGCTGTCACTCAACTTCAAAAACGAAGAAGAAGGACAGCGGGACTGTTAGCGGGGGACCTGAGGGCAGCCCAGAAAGCATCTTGCCAAACTCAGCCCTGCCAGCCCCAGCACGTGCGTCTGAAACTCGGTTCATGGCTGGCCCATGGCGTGTTAAAGCCGCTGGTTTTCCCAGGTACGAGCCGGAGCCCCCGGAGATGGGCTTCCTGGAGTCGGTCTACAGCGCCTATGCCGAAAGCGGGAGGTGGTTTTTTCAGCAGGCGGTGTTCGGTCGGACTCCGCGGGCTCTTTCCATGTAGCAAAGGTGGAGAGTCCCAGCGAGTCGGCCGGTTCAACTTAGGCTAGTTGTGTTTGGTTGAGTGGTTGGGTTTCTGAGTTTAACCCACCAAAAGTCAAACCTTAGACAGGGAGAAGGAAAGAGAGAGAGAGAGAGAGAACAGAAAACAAATACGTCATTTGAAGGAGCCATCACGCTTGTGTTGGTACTGGCTGCCTGGCCCCCTCGATATGTGCCGTGATGCCAACCTGGATGTCATAGGGGAATTCAGCACCAGCAAATCTACACCGTTAGCAAACAAATCCATCAAAGTCAGGGCCACAGAGGGTGAGCCAGCAAGCTAAGCTGACTCACCTGTCCCGGTTTGGAGATTGACCTTGTTCATGTTTTGCTACGGAGTTTGTTGAGGTGCAAAGGTTGTTGATGATGTGAAGGGAGGATTTGAAAATCGCAGCTTCGTCTGGCGGTAAAAGTGGTCGGCTGCCAGGTTTTGTCTTCGGCGACGGCGACCCAAACACTGGCCGCCTCTTGGATTTCTGAGGGCATGCACGGGTCACGCGAGAGCCACAGAGAATTCGGCTTTGTGGGTCAAAACCATTGCCAGTGGGTCAAAACCAATGCCATTGAACTAATTTTAGTGGTTGGATTGGGATGTTCACTGGGGCTACGATTTGGATTTTGACCCATGGCCATTTGTCCATTTGATCTTGGCCGTTGGCGTTTTGCCGGTTGGCTTCAGGGCTTCATCTACCAGGTTAGGTCCTCTACACTGTACTGCTATTGGGTTGGATCTGTAGGCTTTCACTTTTGGGAAATCACGGGTTTTTTCCACCACCCCCCCCCCAAAAAGTTAATCTTTTAGGGGGGGCAACAGCAACCAAGTAGATTGCCAGCTCCCTCGGGTATTGCGAGCTGATTGGCATGGCGAGCTCCCTCGTGTTCCGAATGCCGCCCTTCTTTGAGGGCCGTAGGCTTGTCATTGATTCTATTCCATTTGCCAGGGCCATCTATGGTGAAAAGGACCCCCCCACCCCACCCCACCCCCACCCATGGCTGCACTGAACTTGTGAAGCGCGTTTTTTCTTTTCTCCAGATGCTTTCAGGCTCGCCTGGGTTGCGCCCATCATTTTCAGCAACTGCAACGACCTGTGCGCAGACGCATTCGAGAAACGGAGACATGCCCTTAGTGGCCGCCTCCTAGGGTTCTAAGAACCGCTTCCAAGAAGGTCCAAAGTGTAACCAAGCACTCCCAAAGCCCCCCTCCCGATTTCTATGTCAAATTCGAACAGCTCGGCGGACCTGTATCAACTGATTTCTTTAGCCCAAGAGCAACAACAAGAAGAAAACAAACGGGAACTTGAAAGGGAAGTGCCGCAGGGGATTTCCTCTAAGTTCCCTGTTTCATGTCTTCTAGGCTCCCCAGTAGTGCCCTTCTCACCCCTTTTTTGGGGAGGGTTCTACTAAAATAGACAAAACCGAAGAAAGAAGCAGTACCCTTCCTCTAACCTTACCGGAGGATCCAGTCTTTGAACGCGGCAGCGTTTCGCCCCGAGGCGAGGAGCAGCAGCTGGCCGCCGTGGCCGCTTGGGCGCGGCGGAACGATGGCGTGCTGACGGCGGAGCAGCTGGCGCCGCTGCCGCGCGGAGCGATTGGTTCGCTGGGGCGGGTGGGTGGGTTCGGAGTGGAGTAACCTTCAAAGGCGGATCTGCTTGGTTGGTTTGGAGTGCACAAGTGGGAGTTGGGGGGCCAAATTTATTTCGGGGAAGCTCCAAAAGTGGCGATTTCTGCTTTGCTTTGGTGTGAGAAGGACTTGAGACCTGTAGGAGTTTGGTCTGGAAGGCTTGTTGCCCTTCTTGGTCTGGAAAGAGTTTGGCAGTGGAACCATTTCTGTAAGGGAACCTCCAAAAGTGGCGATCGTTTTTTTTGTGTGGAAACAGCTGGAAATCCAGTCTGTTGGGTTTGGCGGGGGAATGAAACAAATCCTCCAACAGTGGCAGTGGCAAATGGACAGCAGCAGTAGATTGCAACTTTTGAAGTGGAAAGGCAGTGACCCCTGTTTCTTGAAAGTTCAGGAGGTGCTTGAAGTTGTGGCCTGGACTCTTGGCCTTTTTGTTTGCTCGCCCCAAAGGGCCCGGGGTGTACGTCAGTTTCAGGCGCGCGTTCCGTTTACGGGGGGCTGTGTAATGTGGGGTGCTGGGGTAGCATTGCCATGCTTGCCACCTACCTTTCGTCGAAGAAATGGCGGCCTACGTTGTGGCCATGCGCAAAGCTGCAGACGCCAGAGCTCAACATTCTCAACCCCCGAAAGCCAAAGGGAACCTCGCTTCGCTCGATTCCCTATCTCACAAATTTTTGACCAGCGGCCTCCTAATAGACGTCGTAACGAAGTTAGACGTACTATTTGGAGGCCGCTGGTCAAAAATTCGTGCCATAGAAATCACTTGGGAAGCCCTTGGCACACTGAGAAGCATCACGCACGCCCTTGCGATAGAGAGACTGGAGCGAGCGAATGCGTATGATCTGGAGTGCCAAGCCGCTCCAAGTTCAAAAGTACCCCTAAGGTCGCTGAATGAAAGGGCTTGCACCCACTTTCGGGCCGTCCGTGCCGGGGACGCACAAGAAAAATCACCTAACTTGGGCAACTTGGAACCCACGCATCATTCGTCAGCCGGCTGCAGGCTTGACCCTCCTGAGTATCCATCTGGCAGCAGTTACAACGCAACTCGGCGAGAATCATTGTTTATGCCAATAGACGGACCCTGGCATGAACCCCCAAGCTCATGGGTTTTATTCAACAGATAGTTGTGGCTTAATTATGGGAAATCATGGGTTCTTATATGGACCCATACGAGCCTTCGAAACTGTGGTTGCAGGTTGAAGTGCATTTCGTTGAAGCCGAGACACACACACACACATGGCTAAGGCAACCGGCGGGTTCCAGGTCTTTCCGGCGTTGCCCTCTTTCACTTGATCTCATACACGAGTGCGGGAAGCGACCAACAAGAGCCACACAATGAGAACAACTTTTCATAGCCTGAGGGTGTTGTCGTTTGCCGGGCAACTTCGATTTTGAGAAAATCGATCTCGCTGTTTGGCAGTAGCTCGCAATGGCTTGGACAATGGATCCAGCTCTCCGAGAGACTTCCGGGGCACGAACGGCCTGCCCACAAATGGCAAGCCTGCCTGCTAGTCTTGGAGGTTTTGCAGGGCACTCCAGCATTTTCTGGGTGTTTGCGGGGTTCCCCAATCAGCCCACAAGGCAAATTGCGAATCCTCCTTTTTTCCCAGAAAGAGCCAAGCATTTTGATGGCAGCTTGCGTGGGATGTCTGTTTTTGGCCACGCTTCTTCTTTACGCACTGCAACTTGGGCAGCTTGGGGTGTGACCATTGGAGTGGACACGTTCTTTTGATGTTTGCCATGTGGGTATGGGTCAAAGTGAAACCACCAGAAAACCGCAGGGTTTAGTCAATGTTTCCATTTACCAGGGTTCAAGCCATTTTGGGCTTCCCTATTTTGACCACCGCCATGTTGAGACGCCGCAGTGGGCATTTGGGTGACTCACGGGCGGTGCATTCGCTTCCCGCGTCGCGCGCGCGCGCGAAGGTTAACGAGAGTTGGGCGCTGCCTGCCCTCCAACGGCTGAACGGGCGGCCGGAAGTGGCCAAGAGTGGACAGATCGCGCCTTGGCCAAAGGAGCGTCGTTGGCTGGGGGGGGGAGGGGCGGCAAATAAGCGCTGAACTCCCCGCGTCGTTGGTGATGGTTCGGCCGGCTCACTGTTTTTGGTACAGGGAGGGTTGTTTGTTTGGGGATTCTTTTGGTCATTCTTCTTGTTGGTTTCCGGTTTTTTGGCTCGGCTTGCAGCGTTTGCGGCTTTTGGCTTTTTGCTGTTGGCTTCTGGCTTTCCCAAACTAACTCTAAACGCTCGATAGACCAATCCTGCCACTGTCCCGACACCCACCAGTCCTAAACCCATCCTAAGCACGCACTACAATCTCTACTCGGCGGTGCGTCCCTTTGCGCAAAGGCCCCCGCCCATCGTTTCAGGAAACCTAGGCGAGCCCAAATAAGCATAGCTTGCATTCTGAAGGGTGCCCGGAGTCTAGTGTTGTGTTGTTTGCGATCCCTTTGGACATTTGGTTTGATTTCTCCTGAAGTGCCAAGATGCCGTGTTTGATTTGGTTTCTTACGTCATGCCACTGCCTTGGCATCGTAGAATTAGGGTAGGTTTGGTAGGGTTGATTCACGGTTTGCCTTGGGCCGTCGAGAGGGGGGGGAGGTGGTCGGGTGGGTTTGAGTGGGTTCAAGGCAAAATTCGATACGCGCATGCTCGTCATGCAAATCCTCTTAACCAGCCATGCGAGGCATCAGGTACCACATTGATCAAGAACACTCACAGGGCAAACGGCTGCCAGCTAAACATGCAGAACTCACCACTTCCCCCTTCTTCCAGGCTGATACTGCACCCGGTGCAGGTCGAAGCCCGAAGCCCTCCTTGTTGAAGCCATCTTTGCCGCGAGGCCAACCTGAAAGTGCAAACACCTCGCTAAGAGACACACATCCCAGAAGCATGCACGCTTATCATTGAGTCATTTGCTGCAAGAGCGCCCGGAACGAACTAGACGAGGGGCCGCTTGTCAGAGGTCTATGTTTTCGACGACCTGCAGACGACGGCAGGCCAAGCTGACCAGAGTCTGGGCGGGCTTGTAAAAACACCTGTCACTTTCAGTCTTTCTGTGCTGGGCTTGTTTGAAACAGGAAATCCACAATTACTAAAGTTTGCTCCTAAACTCGCTTGGGCACGGCACCTGAAATGCCAACGGGCTATCACGTGCTCTGCTTGTTGCGTGATTGCGGCTGGCTTGTTGCATTTTTGCAGGACTCAACCCCCCTCCGAAGTCACTTGTTTCATTTTACTAGGCAATGGCAGTATGTCTCCTACGCTCGCCAAAAGGCCAATATGAGCGACTTCGTCGATCAAATCCGCCAGCGATTCTGGAGGCGCGATGTGTTTTGGGCACGCGCCCTTGTTGCGTGATGTAAGTGCCGCTGGTCGAAGCATACGCCGGAAGCGTAGGCAAGGGTAGGGTCTTTGTGAGTTTGTGATTGAAGCATCCGTTGGAGGCAAGCTTGCCAAGGGCCGCTGTGCTCGTTGGTCCAGGTTGTTTGCAACCGGCTTTTGCCCGGCGGCTCATGGCAGTGGCCCCGCCCTACCAGGAGCGAGAGATCCCTTTCTCCTTGGCGGATCAGGGGAGCCTCGTACTTGTGGGCCTGTTAGGCGGGGCTTTGGCATCACGCGCTCTCTAGCCACGCTTTGGCTTCATAAGGGCACTGGTTTGCTTCCCCAGTGAGGTTGGGTCGAACTTGGCCGTCACATGAGGGAACTCGCTAAACTGGACTGACGCAGGAGGCTCACGAAATGTTCATGCTGTCTGAGGGAAAGACACTTTGCCTGTGGCTCAAATCGCTCTTGCGCAGGTGCTGCTAACCTGATCGGGGCAGTAGCTTGGCAGCTCTTCGCCATTTGACGCAGGAGCAAGTAGAATGGATTAGGCCAAGCAGCTTGTCATTTGTACACACACACGCGCACGAAATTTGCTGCTGCTGTTGCTTCTGTTGAAGCATGTTGCTTTTGTTGCTGCTGCTGTGGTGGCGTGATTGTGATGACGATTGCTATTTGGAATTATTGACGGCGTTATTTCGGGGTTATTTATCATTATTATTGTTGTCTTATTTCTTTATCACAATTGGCATGACGACGATGATGATGATGATGGTGGTGTTGGTGGTTGTTGGGGGTGGTGGTAGTATTGATGCACCCTGGCAGGAGATTTCGGGTGCTCGAGGCCTCGCCAGGGCAGGGTTCGGTATGAATCACTCTCCTGGGCGTTTGGTGGCGGGCCACAGAGATGGGCTGAGGCGTACTTGGGCGCCGAGTTCGCCAGCCTAGATGCAGGCGTGAAGCTGATAGGCGGGGATGGGCTCAGGACCTGGAGAGCGGGTTCCCTTTTTTCGACCTCCAAAAGTGGCGGTGGTTTCCATGGAAAGAGTGAATGAGTCAACTTCCGAACCTTCGGGTGCCCGCTTCGCTCGGGACATTGCGCCAGGTTTCCTTGGCACAGTCAAGGCACTGTACCCTGCGCTGGTGGGCTACGCAGTCGGCAGCTCAGTGGATTCCCACCCTCGAAAAACGAACCCAGTTCCCGGAAACACGTGTTCAAAACCCGGGTGGATGAAGCTTAGTAAGGGACGATCCCAAGAAATAGCTGCGGCCGCCTTTTTGATTCCTTAGATGGTTCTGGGTAGACCATTTTAGTACCGGGTTTCGATTGTGACTCAGGTGAGCTTTTTTGCCGTCCCTGCGCTGCGGTTCCTCAGCCTGAAGAAGCGAAATAGCGCCTCGGCGTGAGTTTCAAGCCGGGTGGCTTTTGGGGATGTGCGCTGGAACAGGGGGTCTGCGTTGGGCAACAAGCGACTGCCTGAGGCCACGGAGGGGAGAACTGCCTGGGTTTAGGCAATTCATGTTGACCCCTGAAGGAGAAAAAAAAAAAAACTATCCGGTTGCTTCGTAGTTTGGTCCGGGGATGGAGCCACTTTTGGAGGGAGCTTCCGTCCGAAGGGGACGGGTTCTAGATCCCGGCCCGCCGAAGTCGGATCCGAGCGCTCGAGTTCCGCGCCCTGGGGGTTTTGCGCGCGCCGGGCTCTTTGATTGGGCACCGGTGTGGCTCAAAAAAATAAGCCGGGGGGGGGGGGGGAATTGCGCAGGTTTTGGTCCATGTCTCTGACCAGGGTTCCGTTTTGGTACCGGTGTTTTGCGCCTCAGCCAGGTGGGGGCCTCTGTGCCAAACCATTTGCGGGCCAAAGAAAGGCACTGTTCCAGTGCGCCAGGAAGGCGGCGTGATTTTTCTCAAGGAATCGTGTTTTGGTGGACCCTGTGCATTGGCGCTGGCCCCCCCCCAAAAAAACAACGCCCGTCTGGTTGGGCGATGTGTGCCATGTACGCCTTCCCGCGGGTTTTCTCTGCGCATCTTCTGAGCGCCTGGGGCTCCTGGGGAACCAGGCGACATCGATGAGCGGAACAAGCACCGGCGCCAGTGGCTGGACGTGCTGCGGTCTGGGGAAGTCGATGGCAAGCTGGCCGAGGCAATCGGCAGAACGGGAGCTTGGGAACTTTCGGAGGCTTCGGAACCCCTGCTTGCCAGAAAGGTGACAAGCCGAAAACAAGGATTGGACCCCCAACGACTTTGTTTTGACCCGGACATCTTGGCACAGTAGAGACTTTGCCTTTGAAATCTCCGAATCATCGGCATCTGAAAGGCCGGCGGCTACCCCGGCCAAGTGCCAACTCCCTGCACGGGGCGGGGCAGAAATTCTTTTAAAGGATCGCTTCCCTGGTCCCCGGGCAAGCTGAAGCAGGTGAAAAAGAACAAGGGGCGGACGGACCCGATGCAGTCTACTTCATATCCTTTCGGCTCGGAAGGGGGGGGGGAAACCGGCCCAAGGGCCGCCGGCCGTTTCCTCGAATTTTCGCCAGGCGCGGAAATACAAGCAGCAGATGCGGGAAATCTCCTCGGAGAACTCGGTGTACAGCACTGCGAAGGACTGGGATTTCCAGGCTTCCAGCTCAGCATGGTTCAAGCCTTTTGGGTGGGTTCCCCACAGAAAATCAGTGGTTGCTGCTTCTGATTGTTTGGAAACCATCAGTAAATTGCAACTTTGGAATGGAGAATTCCAGTGCCCAAAGCGGGAACCCACTTTGTCGGCTTTCCCGGGAAGCCGTCCATGGTTCCAAGCCAAGGGGGTCGCCATGCTTCAGTCTCACCAAAAGGGCTTTTGGTCTATGTTGCGCTTGCAGCTCATGGGAAGCCGACGTGAAGCAAGGTCTTTCCGCCTTTCTCTGCTCACGGGTTGAAGTTAAGCTCAGCTTGTTCTCCTAAGCTTGGTGAGCCCACCATGCGGGTGTGTCGTTTGTTTTCTTCTTCTTCTTTTTGTTTCTTCTGTTTTTCTTCTTTTTATAAATCTTTATATATTTTTCTTAAGCACCCAAACACAAAAAATGCATTTAAACAATATAATCATATTAACTTATTTCATATTTCAAAAAAACAACATATGAAAAATCAAAAAGTGGTTTTTTTGAATAATAAAGCAAATAAAGTACATATATACATATATACATATAATTAAAGGTGGCCTTTTTTCCCCCCAAGCTTGTGACTTGGACGAGGTCGCATTTTTTGTGGGTTCATGGATCCCCCAAATGCTGGCTCCCTGGCTGTGGCGCCTGTCATTCCAAAACCAGATCGGCGTGTCCATGTCGATCTCGCTTTCTCCTCGAGTACCTCGGCAGCTGAAAGGACGAGGTCGGCATTGAAGCCCTCAGCGATGTCTTTGCCAGCGGGCCTCACTCCAGGCAATGTCCAGGTCGCTGCCAACTCCAGGTGGCTTTCCTTTCAGCACCGGGATTCAGAATGCGGCCAATGCATCAATCCTTCTTATTCGTCCCCACCGTAACCCGGACTCATAGTCCGGCTCCCGCCACAAAAAGCCTTTTCAAGGACCCGTTGTCCGCTCAAATACCCATACACTCCAAGCCACAAGTGCAGCTTGGTCGGCCGGCCGCGTACCCACGCCGAGTTATGCAAAGTCCTTGCAGTCATTGCGATAATTACGCGGTTAGGCCACCATGTCTCTCACCTCCCTCAAGAAACCTCCTGCAAGGTGAGTCCAGACATCACTGAACTTGCTGGTGCTCAGTAGGCAATGACCTTCCGGGTCTTGGGAATGAACCGCAACGGGGCGCCCGAATGGCGGTAGGCGGTTTTTCTCGGTACCCGTCAAAGCAGCAACCCACTTCCTGAGCAGATTGGCCAACAAAACCGCCCACCAAACTTGCAGCTTGCCTCTGAAAAGGTCCAACAAAAACGTCAACACAACGTTTTGGTCTGCCACTAAAGTGGCGACCAACCCCAACTAGGTCCCCCAGTATTGCCCTGTCTCCTTTTTTTTGGGGGAGGGTCCCCCTACCAAAATAGACTACCGAAAAAAAGTTGGCACCCTTATTCTAACCTCTCACATCTGGAGGACCTAGCCAAATTTTGGTTTTTCAGTAGTGCCCTTTTACCTTTTTTTGGGGGAGGGTTCCCCTACTAAAATAGACTACAGAATAAAAGTTGGCACCCTTATTCTAACCTCTCACATCTGGAGGACCTAGCCAAAGCTAGGTCCCCCAGTAGTGCCCTCTTACACCTTTTTTTTGGGGGAGGGTTCTCCTTCTAAAATAGACTACAGAAAAAAAGTTGGTACCCTTATTCTAACCTCTCACATCTGGAGGACCTAGCCAAGCTAGGTCCCCCAGTAGTGCCCTTTTACCCTTTTTGGGGGAAGGTTCCCCTACTAAAAAATAGACTACAGAATAAAAGTTGGTACCCTTATTCTAACCTCTCACATCTGGAGGACCTAGCCAAAGCTAGGTCCCCCAGTAGTGCCCTTTTACACTTTTCTGGGGGAAGGTTGCCCTACTAAAACAGACTACCGAAAAAAAAAGGGGACAAAAAACACAACCAAATAAGCTCGGGCGATATCCCCAACAGCACCACACCCTCCCGGAATCTTCGCGGAACGCCCCGGGACCATCCTTACCGCCGGTGTTGCTGAGGATGCCGCCTTGTAAGCAAAGCTACGAGTGACAGCGCAATCGGGGCCCTGATCGGGGCCCGACGGCGCAATCGGGGCCCGATCGGGGCCCGACGGCGCAATCGGGGCCCGATGGGGCCCGACGGTGCAATCGGGGCCCGACGGTGCAATCGGGCCCGACGGTGCAATCGGGCCCCGATCGTCCCGTGGTGCAACCCCAGCCACCCATATTACAGCTCAAGCCCGGTTTTCCTTAGTAGGCGGATTGCCCAAACGGTGCAATCGGGCGGGCCCCGACAGTGCAATCGGGCCCCGACCTAGCCCCGGTGAACCTCGTAAACCGTTCTCACGCAACTTTCGTGGAGCTCAGCGTGAAACTTTGCTGGAACTTTTCCTCAGGGCTGCCCCATAGCTTTTGCAGAATTTGGTGGAAACCTTCTGACCTCATAGCCCTCGCAGCCTGGTGGAATTCTTGGAACCCAAAGCCCGCCAAGCAGCAATGCCAAGCTTTTACGCTGCTGCACCGTGAGTTCCGCAGCGACGTGGTCTGATTTGCCACAAAGCCAACATTTGCCTGAGCAAGTGAGCAAGTCACAAAACAGTGAAAGTGTGCTAAAAACCATTGATTTTGGTTTTGCTTAGTGTTCCGCCCATGAGCAAAGCGATCTTGATCCGATGGCTTTTCAGACGACGGGCGCACGACACACCCTTGGTGGAGCAGTGTGGAGCCTTGTGGAACCCGTGTGGAATCCTTGCAGAGCTTTGTGGAACCCTGTGAAACCTCAGGGCCCACAGCCCTCGCAGAATCTTGTGGAACCCTGATGCTAGAACCGTGCTGGAATGGAACCTTACCTTGCAAAACCTGGTGGAATTCTGGTGGAATTCTCATGGAACATTACCTCAAACCAGCCCGGACCGCTGGTGGAACCCTGGTGAAACCGTGGTGGAACCCTCGTGGAACCTTCCCCGGACCACGCCGCACCCTCGAAGAAATTGGTGGAACCCTGGCGGAACCCTCGTCCGGAGCACGACGGGCTGGTGGAACCCTGCCCTGCAGCCCTCGCAGAACCTGGTGAAACCCTGGCAGAATTCTGGTGGAAATCTGGTGGAACCCTCGTGGAACCTTCCTCAAACCAGACCACCCCAGCCCTCGAAGAAATTGCTGGAACCCTGGTGGAACGCTCGTGAAACCTTACCTCAAACACTTTTTTGGGGGAGGGTTCCCCACTAAAATAGACTACAGAAAAAAGTTGGTACCCTTATTCTACCCTCTCACATCTGGAGGACCTAGCCAAAGCTAGGTCCCCCAGTAGTGCCCTTTTACATTTTTTGGGGGAGGGTTCCCCTACTAAAATAGACTACCAGAAAAAAAGTTGGTACCCTTATTCTAACCTCTCACATCGGGAGGATCTAGCCAAAGCTAGGTCCGCCAGTAGTGCCCTCACCCTTTTTGGGGGAAGGTCCCCTACTAAAGTAGACTACAAAAAAAGTTGGTACCTTTATTCTAACCTCTCACATCTGGAAGACCTAGCCAAAGCTAGGTCCCCCAGTAGTGCCCTTTTACACTTTTTTGGGGGAGGGTTCCCCTACTAAAATAGACTACCAGAAAAAAGTTGGTACCCTTATTTCTAACCTCTCACATCCGGAGGATCTAGCCAAAGCTAGGTCCGAAAAGTAGTGCCCTCGCCCTTTTTTGTGGGAAGGTCCCCCGACTAAAATAGACTAACCAAAAAAAGTTGGTACCCTTATTCTAACCTCTCACATGTGGAGGACCTAGCCAAAGCTAGGTCCCCCAGTAGTGCCCTTTTACACTTTTTTGGGGGAGGGTTCCCCTACTGAAATAGACTACCAGGAAAAAAGTTGGTTCCCTTATTCTAACCTCTCACATCGGGAGGATCTAGCCAAAGCTAGGTCCGCCAGTAGTGCCCTTTTACCCTTTTCTGGGGGAAGGTTCCCCTACTAAAAGAGACCACCGAGAAAAACAAGTTGGTACCCTTATTCTAACCTCTCACATCTGGAGGACCTACCCAAGCTAGGTCCCCCAGTAGTGCCCTTTTACCCTTTTCTGGGGGAAGGTTGCCCTACTAAAATAGACTACCGAAAAAAACAGAAAAAATGGTACCCTTATTCTATCCTCTCACATCTGGAGGACCTAGCCAAAGCTAGGTCCGCCAGTAGTGCCCTTTTACACTTTTTTGGGGGAGGGTTCCCCTACTAAAACAGACTACCAGGAAAAAAAGTTGGTTCCCTTATTCTAACCTCTCACATCGGGAGGATCTAGCCAAAGCTAGGTCCGCCAGTAGTGCCCTTTTACCCTTTTCTGGGGGAAGGTTCCCCTACTAAAAGAGACCATCGAGAAAAACAAGTTGGCACCCTTATTCTAACCTCTCACATTTGGAGGACCTAGCCAAAGCTAGGTCCCCCAGTAGTGCCCTTTTACACTTTTTTGGGGGAGGGTTCCCCTACTAAAATAGACTACCAGGAAAAAAGTTGGCACCCTTATTCTAACCTCTCACATCGGGAGGATCTAGCCAAAGCTAGGTCCGCCAGTAGTGCCCTCACCCTTTTTTGGGGGTCCCCCTACTAAAATAGACTACCCAAAAAAAGTTGGTACCCTTATTCTAACCTCTCACATCTGGAGGACCTAGCCAAAGCTAGGTCCCCCAGTAGTGCCCTGTTCCCCTTCTGAAATAGACTGCCAGAAAAAAAGTTGGTTCCCTTATTCTAACCTCTCACATCGGGAGGATCTAGCCAAAGCTAGGTCCGCCAGTAGTGCCCTTTTACCCTTTTCTGGGGCAAGGTTCCCCTACTAAAATAGACTACCGAGAAAAACAAGTTGGTACCCTTCTTCTAACTAGTGCCCTTTTACCTTTTTCTGGGAGAAGGTTGCCCTACTAAAATAGATTACCGAAAAAAAAACGGGAAAAACAATTTGGTACCCTTATTCTAACCTCTCACATCTGGAGGACCTAGCCAAAGCTAGGTCCCCCAGTAGTGCCCTTTTACATTTTTTTGGGGGAGGGTTCCCCTACTAAAATAGACTACCGAAAAAAAAGTTGGCACCCCTATTCTAACCTCTCACATCTGGAGGATCTAGCCAAAGCCAGGTCCGCCAGTAGTGCCCTCACCCTTTTTTGGGGGAAGGTCCCCCTACTAAAATAGACTACCCAAAAAAAAGTTGGTACCCTTATTCTAACCTCTCACATCTGGAAGACCTAGCCAAAGCTAGGTCCCCCAGTAGTGCCCTTTTACACTTTTTTGGGGGAGGGTTCCCCTACTGAAACAGACTACCCAAAAAAAGTTGGTTCCCTTATTCTAACCTCTCACACCGGGAGGATCTAGCCAAAGCTAGGTCCGCCAGTAGTGCCCTCACCTTTTTTTGGGGAAGGTCCCCCTACTAAAATAGACTACCCAAAAAAAAGTTGGTACCCTTATTGTAACCTCTCACATCTGGAGGACCTAGCCAAGCTAGGGCCCCCAGTAGTGCCCTTTTACCCTTTTCTGGGGGAGGGTTCCCCTACTGAAATAGACTACCCCAAAAAAGTTGGTACCCTTATTCTAACCTCTCACATCTGGAGGATCTAGCCAAAGCTAGGTCCCCCAGTAGTGCCCTTTTACCCTTTTCTGGGGGAAGGTTCCCCTACTAAAATAGACTACCGAGAAAAACAAGTTGGTACCCTTATTCTATCCTCTCACATCGGGAGGATCTAGCCAAAGCTAGGTCCGCCAGTAGTGCCCTCACCCTTTTTTGGGGGTCCCCCTACTAAAATAGACTACCCAAAAAAAGTTGGTACCCTTATTCTAACCTCTCACATCTGGAGGACCTAGCCAAAGCTAGGTCCCCCAGTAGTGCCCTTTTACACTTTTTTGGGGGAGGGTTCCCCTACTGAAATAAACTACCTAAAAAAAAGTTGGTTCCCTTATTCTAACCTCTCACATCGGGAGGATCTAGCCAAAGCTAGGTCCGCCAGTAGTGCCCTCACCCTTTTTTGGGGGAAGGTCCCCCTACTGAAATAGACTACCAAAAAAAAGTTGGTACCCCTATTCTAACCTCTCACATCTGGAGGATCTAGCCAAAGCTAGGTCCCCCAGTAGTGCCCTCTTACCCTTTTTTGGGGGAGGGTTCCCCTACTGAAATAGACTACCCCAAAAAAAAAGTTGGTACCCCTATTCTAACCTCTCACATCTGGAGGATCTAGCCAAAGCTAGGTCCCCCAGTAGTGCCCTCTTGCCCTTTTTTGGGGGAGGGTTCCCCTACTGAAATAGACTACCCAAAAAACAAGTTGATACCCTTATTCTAACCTCTCACATCGGGAGGATCTAGCCAAAGCTAGGTCCGCCAGTAGTGCCCTCACCCTTTTTTTGGGGAAGGTCCCCCTACTAAAATAGACTACCCAAAAAACAAGTTGGTACCCGTATTCTAACCTCTCACATCTGGAGGACAGCCAAAGTATGGCCACCGCGGTGGGCGGTTTCAACCCCACGCCCGCAGGAGGCGGCGCCGCAGTCCGCGGACCAGGACCTGGAGGACTTCGACCGGCGCCTCCGGAGCTGAAGGCGGGTGGATCGATCGAGCTGGGGCTGCCATTGGTTCCCAGTGGCCACCAGTGGTGCCCCTTGGCATCCGAAAAGCCTGAAAAACCCTAAACCAAGTCTGCCACTTCTCTGCTGGTCAGGGGATTCCGCCCTTTTTGGAACTTTGCTTTTTGGCGAAGGGTTCTTCCCTTGAAACTCCACCAATACAAAGGAAAGAAGAGGCCACCCCTGGGCCCTTCTATCACCTTTTTGTTACCTATGAACCCCTTAATACGGCCATATTCGGGGCTTATCCTTGGCCTATCCTAGGCTTATCCAGGGATAGCCCCCATAGCCTCCCTAGGAGTGCATGAGGATAGCTTGGTTTGGAGGAAACACTTTCACCCAAAGCATGGAGAACAAGTTTTTAAGGTCCCCTTGCACACGCACACACACACACAGAAGTAGGCAGACACCCAGCAAGTTGCTTCTCTTTTTCCACTGATGCGGAGGGGGTTTAGCTCGGGTCTGGGGTCGTGTTTCTTGGGATGCCCCTGCCAAATGTGTACATTTTCAGTGACCTGGCGACGGTGCGATACATGAGGGAACGTGTTGACCATGAACATTGGATAGTGTGGCGGCAAGAGCTTGCGTGGCCCCTGTGCAGCTGACAGCTATGCTGTCGCCAGACGCTCAAGGCAAATAAGACTTGGTGGTTCCCAGTATCCCCTCAGCTTTCGTTTTAAAAAGGGTTGAGTGGGGTCGTCCATCTAAACCGGACAGGCAAATCGTAAGATTGGACTTGAGTCACGTTCAGGGCTCCCAAAGGCCTGGAGGTATTGGAGGTGGAAGGCAAACCTTGGGTCCTTAGGCCCTTGGGTTCAGGTGGCATTCCGAGCGGAGAGCCGCGGGGCCCCGCCGTAAGGGACCAATTTTCTTAGGGGTTCCGGCCAGGCAAGGATTTTCGGTGGCGACTCGCCAGATATCTAAGGGTTCATTCCCCATTCTTTTCAACCATTGTTCTTTTCAATAACCAGCGGTTTCCCCTGGGTTCTGATGGTTTTCTGGAAAGAAGGATCCCTGGAAAGAATGGGGAAGTGTCGCCTAGAAGATACCGTGAGTGACGTCCTCAAGTATTTTGCCTGGCCAGGCCCGATACAGAATGGAGCCAGAAGTGCTGCCAGCGATGTAGGAAGTTGGAAGCTCCCTGCGTTGACTCCAAGCATTTGGAGCGGATTTCAGCGGGCCACCTCATGAATCTGAGAAGCCCCTGGACGCTACAGTGCCAAATCAACCAGGGTTTCTGAGTGCCAGCTCTAGGATTTGGTGAGTGATTGGTGGGTTCAATTTCCCAATTTCAACAACATCCATGGGATATAATGCAATGGTGCTTTTGCGGCTGGGCCAACTTTTAGATGCCCATTTGTGTGTGCCTTTGTATGCCAGTTTCCGCGATCCATTGAGAGGCCCGGGCATCCCTTTTCAATGAATCAAATGGATATTGCCACTTGCCACTTACCCCTTCCCTTCAAGCGTTCCCTTGCGACTTGTCACATCCAATCTGCCTGTGGTCTGCCGTCTTCATGTACCGCACGGCCACGTCCCAGTCGTTGTGTTGATGCTTTGCCCTTCCCATTTACGCTCGTCTTCCACCAACACGAAGGGACATTGAGACTTGGGCCGGTTGTATCGCTCACGGCAAATCGAACTTTTTCGTTCGGCCGGCTAGCAGGAGCTCAGTCTCGATCCCGCTGAGCGACCCCCCCATTGCCATCGACCTAGCACAATGGTGGGTAGTTTGGCGAAAAACAGGCTGCTCCTTGCACCCGCCACGAAATGAACAGGACCGAACATAAATAAAAAGCAGCAGCAAAATCGACAAGAAAAGTGAAGTGCAAACGATTTCTTTTTTTGGGTATCATGTAAATGCATGGCTCAAAAATAAGCCACCTACCCAGAGTACTAAGCCCCTTCAACTTGCCAACGGCTCATCAACCGTGAGTAAGTGGAAGCTTGGCTCTAGACTGCTATTTCAGCAGTAGACACGCTCTTGTTTTGCTCCTTTCAGGAAACACTGCAAGTACCCCGGACTGAGCCAGGGTTAATTCATCAGAAATAGCAGGCGGCAAAACTACGTGCTGTAATAGCAGGCGGCAAAACTACGTGCTGTATGTTGCTCACATGCTGTGCCACGTTCACGAATCGCGACAGTTTTGGACGCAGCCTGGCCAAGCATCCTGACAGAGGTTTCGATCATGTGAGACCAACTGCCAATTAGGCACAAAGAAAAGCGAAACAGGGCACCACTTTCGCTCAAGCAAGACCAAACAATGCTCCTGTACCAAATTCAGGACAACTAGAAATTCTAGAATAGCCAAACAACGCAACAAATACGGGTGTGCCCCATGGTGTCGGAAAAGATTAGTCGTTACCCCTTTGATGCCGTTGAGCTGGTGATTATCTTTGTTGAGACAAAAGCTTGGCAAAACACATGCAGGGATGTGCTGCAGGCTTGTAGCGGAAAAAAGGCAAGCCACGTAGTTCCGACGGAAGCACTGTTCTTGACCGGACCCCGCTGATTTCCTCCTTCGCTGTAGGTTCTCCCAGCCATCCGGTTGCTTAGCCTTTTAGCTTTTAGTGTTTAGGGGTAGTTTCCATTTAACCCACTAAAAGTTAAACTTTTCGCGGGGGATATGAGGGCAGCCCAGAATCCACGTGGCTTATTTTTGCGTGTTGGGTGCTTTGGAGGTGCAGTCAAGACGCGTTTGACGTCGGAAGGGCTTCCAGCGGTCAGCGGGCCAAGCTTCTGCACGGCAAGGCGTAATTGTGAAAATGCGATGGCCCGAGTTTGGGATCCTCGTGGGGGGGGGAGGGGGAAGGGGGTGGGGTGCGGCACCACTGCGGTTGGCATTGAAGACAAGCACAGGGAAGCGCGCGATGAAGTGCATGGCTGAAAGGCAGTCGAAACAAGTGTAAATTAAGATTAACATTTTTTTTTCCGATTTGGGTACTTTTTGTCAGCTCCTGCATTTTGTTTAATCATCCATGTGAATACCTCGGATGTTCTGATTGTGGCAAACAGCTTGAGCCAGATGCCAGCTGCATCCAGAACGTGCCCGTGAGGCGCAGAGCCCTCCGCCGCCGGCAGCCAAAGCCCCGGGCCAGGCGATGGCGCACGCGTTTTGCTGGAGTCATACCGTGGAGGGATCAAACATCTGAGCACTACCAGGTGCTCAGTAGTGCCCTTTTACCCTTTTTGTGGGGGCGGGTTCCCTACTAAAATAGACTACAGAAAAAAGGGCACCCTTATTCTAACCTCTCTACTGGACTTTGAAGCCACGGTTGAAACCATGACGTTTGTTGGTATTTACACGGGGAAGCATCATTCCAGGGTCTTTGAGGTGGTGCCGGGTTGCGGCCACAGTAGGTGGCCTTTTCATCGGTTGGTGTTGGTTAGAAAGCGATGGGGTGCACTGGTTTAGATTGGTTTTATGCCCGGGCCGTCTATTTATCTGAATGGTCACCCATGGTGGAATCCTCAATCGGCTGATTCCAGGAGTTGGCGGAATCTTCACAAATGACTCGTTTTCCGAGAAGCGCTCTCGATTTCCTTCAGCGAGAGCAGCCCCAAGGAATTTGTGAGAGCTCCTTGTGGATTGATATGTGGTCCCCAGTGGTGAGGACACGGAGCGACCCAGCAATGAATAGGCCATTCAGGGCCACAGTCCTTTGTTTTGAGCGCGGGCAAGCAGCTGTAAGCATCCCGCATCATGCTCCTGCGTGGCCATTCTCATTCTTCTCAACGTTGTGCAGTTCAATTAGACGCCCAATGCCATCTTTCAGAAATCCGAGTCAGTGCCCAAAGTCATTTCGTGGCAAACAGCTCTGTTGAGACGTGACCCGAGGCAGCGACCAGAAAACTGTCACATACATAGAGATCTCTCTTCTAGGAAATTCCATGGTAAATGTCAATGTGTTTTGGACCTTGACTTGTGCTGTTGCTTTTGAATACCAAACTCCGGTTGCTTCAGTCTAGCAAAGGTAGGGAGTCAAAGGAAAGGGCCACGTGGATGGAGTCCAGGCGAGGCGGCTGGAGAGGCGCCCTCCTACGCGCAGGACTGGCGGCAGTTTTCGCCTTTGACCACTTTTCGCCTTTCGCCCAGTTTTGGCACGGGGGCGGCAGGTGATGCGGAAGGTCCACAGACGCCGCAGCACGGACCTGTGCACGCTGTGCACCTTCCTGCTGTGTCTCGGCAGGGTGGTCAAGTCAAAGCTCAGTCTCACATTGACAGCCTCACCTCGCACCAGGCTTCATGTCTTGAAATGTGTGGAGCCTGAGAGGTACATTTAAACCGGAGGAGGGGGGGGCGATGTATGCGTCCTTCTTTGGCACAGGTCGCATCAAGCAGAACATGCATTGTGTTGGCAAGGGCCATGCACGGCGCGCTCCACTCTTGGAGGGATGCGCTGTGGTTGGGGGAAGCAACACTAGTATTCCCCCCTTCGCTTCGTGCCTGAGGTATTGGGCTGGAATGCTGTGGCCTTAAGGCTGCTTCTGGGTTCGGCTTCCGGCAGTTGCAGTCGGCCCAGCGTCTTGCATTTGATCGTGCGCCGGCCGCACTCAGGCAGCCGTCTTATCGGGATCCTCATGCTTGAATGTTGAGGATTTGCTGGATTGGACATCTTGAAGTATTTGAAGTGAGGTGTGTTGCGCAGCAACATGCCGAGTCCGAGGTGTGCCATTTCCTATTATGCGCTGCAAGATGGTGACCCGCAAAGGCTCAACCATAGCTGCTTGGCCGGCATTTGTTTTGTGCATTTCAAATAGGGCGGGGGCGGGGGGGGGGGAGGGGGCGGGAGTTTTCCGCGTTCAATTTCTGCACGGGTGCGCAGTGTGTTTGCAAATCGGTGATAGCATGGCATCCTGCAATTGCCGGTGGCCAGCCCATTGCAGCATTGCAAGGCCTATTGGTCCAGTCCTTCCTTTGTTCGCGTATGGGGTGGTTGCGCAATTCGTTTGTTTCAGTCGTGTTTCTTGGCCAGTGCTGGTGCATATTTCTCGGAGCGCGGGCGTATTACCAACAGTTCGCCTTTTTTGAGGAAAAGGCACGGTCTTCCAGGTTTTCCCCGGTCAGGTTCCATGGCAACGTGTGTGGAAGGGACGTGTTTTTGGACATGACCTGCGGGGCTCTCTGAGGCTTCGATTACGGGGGACGGCTTTGTGGAGTGGACCCTGGCGTCGAGGACAAGGCGCTCGGCGCTCAGGTTCGGAGGAATGGGCAAGTTGTGATTCAGACCAGGCCCTTGATTTTGACACCCAGTGTTGGGTGCTCTGGCGTGGTCCCAGTATGGTTTTGGGCTGGTTTTGGACGATGGCCATGGCTTTATGATGTTGGGCCATGGTTTGGGCTATGCTTTTGGCGGGGGCACAAAGGGGACACCGGATGCTTTCCACACATAAGATAGCGGTTTCCCACCGAGGCTACTGTACTGGCCGAACCCGGGGGAGCCGGAGTATGCCATTTGCGTGGCCGAATGCCCCGCGGACTCTCTGCAGAGGGTGTCCTTTCCTGTGGAGGCGCGAAGAACGAGGGAGGTCTGGGAAAACCGCGCGGGTGCCGCTCTTGGCCTCTTTTTGCCCGGGGCTGCTGCCTTCAGATGTGTCAGAGGGTTGCGGGTACCTGAGTCCAAGTCTATCTTCCAAGAAAGCTCCTTCTCTCCAATCCGTGCCGCATCCCGCGAGCGTTCTTTGCAGCTGGGCAGAGTTCTGGTTGACAATTTGCTCGCCCACAAAGTGGGGCAATTTGATTTTGTTTTAGCAGCTGCTTTGGCGGATGGTATGTAAGACCCAATGGAACAAGCTTAAGTTAGCTAGTGAGGCCGGCACATTCAGAAACAAATGTAGAGACCTATGCATAGAACACACAGACAAATACATACATAGATACATACATAGATACATACATAGAAAAATGGCCTAGATAGATTACACTTGTGTATATTCATGCGTCTCATGCATTTTTGCACACATGCATGCATGCATGCATGCATGCATGCATGCATTCACTCACTCACTCACTCACTCACTCACTCACTCACTCACTCACTCACTCACTCACTCACTCGCTCACTCGCTCACTCCCTCACTCCCTCACTCCCTCACTCCCTCACTCCCTCACTCCCTCACTCCCTCACTCCCTCACTCCCTCACTCCCTCACTCCCTCACTCCCTCCCTTCCTTGCTTCCTTGCTTCCTTGCTTCCTTGCTTCCTTGCTGCCTTGCTGCCTTGCTGCCTTGCTGCCTTGCTGCCTTGCTGCCTTGCTTCCTTGCTTCCTTGATTCCTTGCTTCCTTCCTTCCTTCCTTCCCTTCATTCCTTCATTCCTTCATTCCTTCATTCCTTCATTCCTTCCTTCCTTCCTTCCTTCCTTCCTTCCTTCCTTCCTTCCTTCCTTCCTTCCTTCCTTCCTTCCTTCCTTCCTTCCTTCCTTCCTTCTTTCCTTCTTTCCGTCTTTCCTTCCTTCCTTCTTTCCTTCCTTCATTCCTTCCTTCCTTCCTTCCTTCCTTCCGTCCTTCCTTCATTCCTTCATTCCTTCCTTCCTTCCTTCCTTCCTTCATTCCATTCCATTCCATTCCATTCCATTCCATTCCATTCCATTCCATTCCATTCCATTTCATTTCATTTCATTTCATTTCATTTCATTTCATTTCATTTCATTTCATTTCATTTCATTTCATTTCATTTCATTCATTTCATTCATTCGTTCATTCGTTCATTCGTTCATTCGTTCATTCGTTCATTCGTTCATTCGTTCATTCATTCATTCATTCATTCATTCATTCATTCATTCATTCATTCATTCATTCATTCATTCATTCATTCATTCATTCATTCATTCATTCATTCATTCATTCATTCATTCATTCATTCATTCATTCATTCATTCATCCATCCATCCATCCAGCCAGCCAGCCAGCCAGCCAGCCAGCCAGCCAGCCAGCCAGCCAGCCAGCCAGCCAGCCAGCCAGCCAGCCAGCCAGCCAGCCAAGCAACCACCGTTCGTTCATTTTTACCTTCATCCATTCTCATCCAGTCTCATTCATGCGAACTCATTCATGAGTTCACCCATGCACCCATCCAGCCATCCATCCATGCATCCATCCATCCGTCCAGCCAGCCAGCCATCCATCCAGCCAGCCAGCCAGCCAACCAGCCAGCCATCCATCCATCCCTCTTCAGGATTCGCACCAGGAGTTTGTTGGCCCGGTGAAGGATTGTTTGTAGGCTCACCCCGGAGCTGACCTTATTGACAACGATCTCAGGCTTGAGAGATGCCTCATGGAACAGGTCTACGCACATGCCACGTCCTTGAAATTCGAATCCCCACCTGAATGCCTGGAGTGCCCTGCACTGCCCTGAGCGTACCTGGGCCCTTGGTTGGTCCATCCTTGCGCAAGCCTAGAAAAGGCCTGGGGCCGTGACTTGACTTGCCAATCGAGCAGCCTCATCCGATTTCTTGGGATACTTTCTGAACAGGAACCATTTGCAGTGGTTTCCAATCCTAAGGACGTGTTCCCAGATTCCCAGATTGTCCTGCTGACAACAGCTCTGCCAAGCTGTCAGGGACCTTGGCAGAGGGGGGGGTTGAGCTTGTGGGTTCCTTTTGTTTACTGCGGCAATGACTGGACCTGCTGGGCGGCACGCACACAGACAGACATGGGTATGGGTCAAAATGAAACCACCAGGGAATTCACTTTGGGGTTACCCTATTCTTGACCCACAGCCACATCTCCCACTTCCATGTTGGAGAGAGGGTGATATTTGCTACGGAGGAGGCCGCTGTGAAGCACCGGCCAGACGGCAGCGAGGTGGCGACCATCATCTCGCGCCAAGAGCAGGTGCTGACGTATTCGTCCAGGCAGGTGGTGTTACCCCCACCCCTTCAAAATGGAATTGGGGGAGGGGGGATTTCGACCCCTGGAGATCTCCACGTAGGGTGAGCCATTTTCCCCTTTGTGGTGGGAAGACTGAATAAATTGGAATTGTGGGACCCCCCACCCCCCTCCCCCTTAAGGTAGGGGGGATGTGGTGTGGGGTCGATGGCAGTCGCGAGTCTGCCTACACCGTACAGTGAAGGTGCAGCAAGGTGGCCAAGACTCACGGTCCACTTCAATCTTCGGGGCACCTTGTTTGGTGGGCATAGGGTGGACAAAGTCCTGCACCATCTAAGAAACTCTGGAGCCCTGTGCATACCAACTAACCATGGTTTCCCATGGTTTCAAAGTGGCGCAGGATTTCGTCCATCCACAATGGGTCTCACAGCCTCTCCTGCCGAGGCAGGTGGGCGGCCGTGTTTGCTTGCCGCTCTCGCTGGCGAATGCTATGCAGAATGGCGGGAGCTGGACGCCTGAAGATCAAGTGCAGGGGATAAACCACCTGACGCTTCCCAGGCTGCCTGTCGGAAGCGTGCTCCTTGGAAAAAATGGGCGGGGTGTATTATCTCTCTCTCTCTCTCTCTCTCTCTCCCCCGCTCTCTCGCCTTGTCTCTCTCTCTCTCTCTCTCTCTCTCTCTCTCTCTCCCTCTGTCTGTCCTGTCTGTCTGTCTGTCTGTCTGTCTGTCTGTCTGTCTGTCTGTCTGTCTGTCTGTCTGTCTGTCTGTCTGTCTGTCTGTCTGTCTGTCTGTCTGTCTGTCTGTCTGTCTGTCTGTCTGTCTGTCTGTCTGTCTGTCTGTCTGTCTGTCTGTCTGTCTGTCTGTCTGTCTGTCTGTCTGTCTGTCTGTCTGTCTGTCTGTCTGTCTGTCTGTCTGTCTGTCTGTCTGTCTGTCTGTCTGTCTGTCTGTCTGTCTGTCTGTCTGTCTGTCTGTCTGTCTGTCTGTCTGTCTGTCTGTCTGTCTGTCTGTCTGTCTGTCTGTCTGTCTGTCTGTCTGTCTGTCTGTCTGTCTGTCTGTCTGTCTGTCTGTCTGTCTGTCTGTCTGTCTGTCTGTCTGTGTCTGTCTGTGTGTCTGCTGTGTCTGCGTGTCTGCGTGTTTTGCCTGTCTGCGTGTCTGCGTGTCTGTGTGTCTCTGTGTCTCTGTGTCTCTGTTTCTTGTGTGTCTGTGTGTCTATGTTTGGTTGTGTGTGCGTGGGTTGTATGTTGTGTGTTTGTGTTTGTTTATTTGTTTGTTTGTTTGCTTGCTTGCTTGCTTGTTTGCTTGTTTGCTTGTTTGTTTGTTTGTTTGTTTGTTTGTTTGTTTGTTTGTTGGTTCGTTTGTTTGTTTGTTTGTTTGTTTGTTTGTTTGTTTGTTTGTGTGTTTGTGTGTGTGAGGGCCGATTGATGGCACTTGAAACTCGAGGTTGACGCACTCCACAACAACGTCAGCGCCGGAGAATTTAGAGAAGGAGATGACATCGACGATGATGGCGCCGGCGGCAATGACGGAGCTGTCCACCACAGAGCTAGCCACGACAGAGCTGTCAACCACAGAGCTAGCCACGACAGAGCTGTCAACCACAGAGCTAGCCACGACAGAGCTGTCAACCACAGAGCTAGCCACGACAGAGCTGTCAACCACAGAGCTAGCCACAACAGAGCTGTCAACAACTGAGCTGTTGCCGCAGGACTCAGGGGAGAGCAAGCGCCTTGGCTTCTGGTAGCCACCTGTGTTCCCTCAAGCTGACCCAGTATTGCAACCAAGACCAAGAATGTAGGTCTCGCCATGGCAGATTCTCTAGTGTGCAAATGAGGAAGGGCTGAGGGTACATTAAGGATGCCACAAAAACCCACTTGCGTTTTCGCTTTTGGATGCTCCATGGGTGATCGCTGACCCTCAGCAGGCTCTCGGGTGGCTTGGCGCTGGGACCGAGGGGTTGCCGCCGCCCGTGTCGTGCAAAGCTGCTCTGATCAGCTGCTCCGTTGATCCGCTGCTCCACTTTGTTGCTCCGCTCCGTGCCACGCCCCTGTCGCAGCACCACAGCAGCAGCCGCGCAAGAGCGCAGCGCCGTCACAGACGGCGCACCGGCGCAGCTGGGAAAAGGTTCCATGCAGGGCAGCAGAGCCAGCAGCGCAGTGCAACGAACCTTAGGCACACAGACTGCCAGCACGCTGCCAATAGAAATGTTGCGATTTGAGGGTGTGAGGGGGTCCCAGTCCGCCGCTTTTCCAGGCAAGAACGGGCAGAACGACCATCTAAGCTGTACTTTGTTGAGGAAGGAACTTAAATCAAATTGCCCAAGGCATTTTTACGGTTTTGCCACTTCGGTTTTGCCACTTCAATACGGGCGAACTTATAATTAAATGTCAAATTGTTTAGGAGAGCTTCCCCAAATACGACTGCAGTTGGTGCCGGGCGTTTTGTTGGTTTAGATTTAGATTGGCTTAGTTTTGCAAAGATCTACCCTCCACGGGGTCACTTCAAAAGGAATTTAATCTTCCAGGTACCTCCCACAGGAAGGGTAGTTTGTTATTGCGAGACTGGGCGTTTCGGCAATGCGCGTGTGGCCGCCGAGGCGTTCAACTTTGCAGCCCGCAGTCGCCGAGGAGCCTCGCCCTAATGGCTGGCTTCTCGCGCGGTTCATCTTCATGTCAAGCGGGCGTGTTTGTTTTTTTGGGGTACCCCTTTTTGAGGTGGCTTCAAGGGGAAGCCAAAGTGACAACCGCCTATTTTAACGCGCGCGCAAAGCCAAACAACCACAACAGCAGCAGCAGCAGCAGCAGCAGCAGCAGCAGCAGCAGCAGCAGCACCACCACCACCACCACCAACAGCAACAACAACAGCAGCAGCAGCAGCAACAACAACAACAACAACACCAACAGCAGCGGCGGCGGCAGCAGCAGCAGCAGCAGCAGCAGCAGCAACACCAACACCAACACCAACACCAACACCAACACCAACACCAACACCAACACCAACAACACCACCACCAACCACAACACCACCACCACCAGCAGCAGCAGCAGCAGCAACAGCAACAGCAACAGCAACAGCAACAGCAACAGCAACAGCAACAACAGCAGCACAGCAACCACAACAACAACACAACCACAACCACAACCACAACCACAACCACAACCACAACCACAACCACAACCACAACCACAACCACAACCACAACCACAACCACAACCACAACCACAACCACAACCACAACCACAACAACAACAACAACAACAACAACAACAACAACAACAACAACAACAACAACAACAACAACAACAACAACAACAACAACAACCTTTCCTTCCTTTTTTCTTCTTTTCTTCTTTCCTTCTTTGTTTTTAAATGATTTTCTTTCTGTCATGAAAGAAGGGCACAGTCATGCGGAAGAGAACCAATGGTTACATCAGGCAGGGAGGGAGGTGGGCAGAAGCATCAGGGAGTGTTCCGCCCTGCTTTCCCGGCGGTCGCGGGTTCGCTTCGGTCCTAGTTGCTGGCTCGCTTCGGTCCTAGTTTTCATCTCGCTTCGGTCCTAGTTTCCTTACTCGCTTCGGTCCTAGTTTCTTCGCCGTTGACTATGGTGTTTGAGAGGCAACATCCTTGTCGACCCCACCCCACCCGGCATGTCTTGTTGTTAGGTGTTTGAGAGGCAACATCCTTGTCGACCCCACCCCACCCGGCATGTCTTGTTGTTAGGTGTTTGAGAGGCAACATCCTTGTCGACCCCACCCCGCCCGGCATGTCTTGTTGTTAGGTGTTTGAGAGGCAACATCCTTGTCGACCCCACCCCGCCCGGCATGTTTTGTTGTTAGGTGTTTGAGAGGCAACATCCTTGTCGACCCCACCCCGCCCGGCATGTCTTGCTGTTAGGTGTTTGAGAGGCAACACCCTTTGCGTGTGTCCTGTTGTTAGTGCTCAAAAAGCTATCTTCCACTGCGCCTGAAGTGATCCAAAAATTGCGACAGAAGTGATCCGCAAATGCTCAAACTACGACCAAAGTGAGTGGATTTCAGCTGCGACCAAAGTGATCCAAAAACTGCGACCAAAGTGATCCCCCCGCCTTTTTTCCCGGCTCCAACCTGGCAAGGAGGCCGTCTCAACCACCCGGAGCTACACTTCCCGGGAGAACGTGAGCCTTCCGCTGCCCAGTGTGCACGGGGAGGCGCCATCGAGACACGTGTCTTGTTTCTTGCTGGCCTTGGCGAGGCTCCGTGAACGATGGTGGGCGAAGGGCAGGGTTCAATTCCCGCAAAAACGGGCCAAAGCAAAGTTGCCGCGTCGCCTGTGCTTTTTCTCCGCGTGCAGGCCTATGGGCCCGCGACCGAGAGTGAGGCTGGAGGAGCGATGCTTGGGTTGGAGCATGGCCAGCCGAAAGTGGGCGAGGAGAGCCTGAGAGGCGACAGTGTCGACGATTATGACCTCCATGACGACTACGATGAGCGCCTGGACCCCCGATTCAAGCCTGTCTATCCTCCTGGCCCTGGCGACCATGAGGACCATGAGGACCATGAGGACCATGATGACCATGATGGCCATGGCGACCATCAGGATAGCCAGGATGAGAGAGGCAAGGGCGAAGTTGAAGGTGAGGACGGCGCTGATCAGGAAGCCTTGTCGAAGGCCGAGGCGTTGCTGAAGATTGGCAAGCTCAGGGACGAGGAACACAGGCGCAAGGAAGCAGATAATTTCGCCAAGATCTTCGGCCATGGACTTGACCAGACTGGAAGAAGGACCCTGCACAGCAGCCAGCAAGATGTGAACATGGTAGGTCTGAATATGCAAATTTAGATATGGCGCGCCTGGCGCGCATGTAGATTCGAGCATACAAGCATATATGTGCTCGCATGTATGCAAACACAACACACATACACATATATATATATCTACACATTTGCATATGTTTGTTTTTCTTCTTTGCTATATTTATGAACCAGGCATCTATACACATGTACATGCATGTGTATGTCTAAGCCTATACACATATTTGTCTATACATGCATTCGCATATATATATATATATATATGTTGTTCACCGTTCTGTTTATGCGTGTGCACAAGTAGATAGAGTCCTACACACTGACACACCTGAGCATGCTATCTTGCATGCTTGCATGTGGCGATGTCATTGTCATGAGCTCTGGTGCTTCGGCCAGCGGTTGGCCAGCAGGCCAACGCCATGTTGAGATTTAAGCTCTCTTGCGAAAGGATGCAGCTGGTCGATGAGCTGGACGATGCGCCAGATGTTGAAGCGCCAGATGCTCAGCGGCCGGAGTGTGCACGCCATCTTTGGCAAAAGTAAGTTTCAGCATGAATTTGCTGGTGCATTCTTGCAGGCACATCGCAACTCAAGCTGCTTTTGGGGTAGCCTTTGCCATGCCATGGCATCATTGATTTCATTTGTCTTCTTCTTTCTTCCTTCTTCGTCTGCCTCCTAGGTTGGAGAAAAGAGTAAGATGATTCATATAGTTGGACGAGTAAGTAAGTGAGTGCGTGCATATGAACCTGGCTGTTCGGCCCCTGATCCTTTCCACGCTCCGCAGGGACTCTGTCTCTCAGCTCGCCATTCTCTTGGAGGAGCAGGACAGGCGAACGGTAGGCATCGGCAAGCGCATTTGTCGCTTCCGACCATGGCCCCCATTTTTCCGGGGGCAAATGTCTCCAGAAGAAGGAGACCGGGGAAGCCGGGCCCCTTCAGTTCGGAAACAATTGCGACCCGCCCGAGTCGACCGGTTCGAGTCCCCCGAGCTCCCCAATTCGAGCGACTCGAGTCCCCCGAGCTCCCGCCACTTCGTGGGATCGATTCGTCGATTCGTCGATTCGTCGAGAAGAACTTCTTGAGGAGAAGTCTGCGGGCGGGTGGCTCCGGAAGGTGATCTGGGAGATCGCCGGGGCCTGGCCCGTGGCTCTGGCCCCAGAATTGGACCCCAGACATCCATCGAGGGCCTGGGGGGCTTCCGGATTTCGGTTGTCCGGTTGGTTTCCCTTGGCTCCGGAAATCCATCAAGAGCCTGGAAAGTTCGGGAGCGGCAAAGACTTGGGACCCTGAAACGGAGTGAACCGTCTCCCAAGAAAGGGGCAGCCTCCTTAAAAGCCACACCCAATTGGGTGGGCGCCGGTTTGAGGCTTCGATTTGGTTGCAGCTAGACTGTTGTAGGCATGGGTTTCTCATTCCAAGACCCAAAGCTGGGTAGTTGAAGCGCAGGGGGTCATCTCCAACTAAAAATAGCAGTGCCCAGGTCGTTCTCGTATACCTCATTGCATTGCCCTTGATCAAGTTCCTGAAAGCCTTGGGGCTGACCCATTGTGCCCCGAGTCTTTGTGACATGTTAGGACTTTAACTTTTTGGTTGAATCAGTGGATTCTCCTTTGGACCCGCAAGCTACACTTTAAACAGAGGGGTCAACAGCAACGAAGGAGTTTGCGGGGAGTTTTCGAAACCACACCCTGCCGAGTTGCTGCTATTTGGCGTGGTGCTTGCGGGCATCGTAGGCTGGGTCGACTGGCCTGTCACCTGTTGCAAGGTCGATCACATCTTGCCTTTACTTTTGTGCTGGCTTTGCTTTCCTTATGGCGCACCACCCCGAGCGTGGCAAATGGGAAGCTCGGGCTTTGAGCTCACGTTGGGCGCCAGGCTTTGGGTATTTGGTCTTCATGCGCTTTTGCGCCGCGAGCCCGGCGCGGCCGAAGTTCCCGGCTCTTGTTTGATTTGGCTACCAGGTCGACAAAAAGCAACCCTTTTGCACCGCGATGGGTAGCTTCCATTTGCTTAAGAATATTTCTTCCCCTGTTGGTTTTAACGGGAATGTATCACAACTGGAATCATTTTTATTTTTCCCAGGGGTCTCAACCAAATGGAAGGTAGCCTTGGCCTCAAAGGTTTGCCTGCCGTCCGAAGGCCAAGCCTTTCACCATCGGCGTCCTTCTGCTCCTCATCGCGGCAGATGTCGGCGTTTGCGTGCCGCTCGGCGGAAAAGAGACTAACCCGTCACTGCAAGCTGTTGCGAAACAACAGGCTGTGACAAAAGCTTGCTGGTTCGGTAGGCAGGGAATGAGAAATGAAATGACCCTTATAAACCATCCCTGCCTGGTGGCTGCGTTTATTCAGGGACCAAAGCCTGAGTTCATTCCATTCCGCATAAACCTCTCAGTTCTGCGCTGTTACCAGGTGCCAAGGAACGGTCTGTGCCCCCGGCTCAAGCCTGGAGCCACAAGGGAACGCTCACCTGTCCATCCGCTCCGGTCCACGATGCTTGTGCTGTTGCTGTCACTACTGCCCCTGGCAGACTCTGGAAGCTGCTCTGCCGGCACGGCCTACCTGCAGCTGCAGGGCAACGTGCAACGGACCGTGCAGATCGGCGGCTGCAGCGCCGTGGCCTCCGAGCTAGGTGCCACAGATGCTTTGTGCTCCGAAACCTGTGGCTACCTTGCTCCTGGCCAATGGCCGTGTGGTGAAGGAGGCCCCTGCGTTTGCGGGGCAACAACCACCGCCACCCCAACCACAGCCACCCCAACCACAGCGACCAGAGTGACAACAACCACCACCACCGCAAGCACCACCACAGCAGCAAGCACCACCACAACAACCACGACGACCACCACAACTGCCACAACGACCGCCGCTGCCACAACTAGCGTCGGCAGCACTCTTCCCCCGTCTTCCCTTGTTGAGCAGACGGTTCAGGCCTTGCAGAATTCCAACTCCGCCGGCGTATTTCAGTACGACACCGGCAACGGCTGGCTGGAGTCCGACATCTACACCTGGCCCGACATGATCGAGGCGGTGCGGGTGATGGCCACCAGCGGTGTGGGCCAGCTGAAGCTGTGGCTGGGAGACTCGGACCACGTCTATGGCCTGGTGAACGTCGCAGCCTTCCTGGCCCAGTGCATGCAGGAGACCATCCAGTACAATGCCTGTGATGAGAACAACTGGAGTGACAAGAGCGTGGTGGCAGAAGCTGGTGGCTCCACCTACTCCTCAACGTCTTCCTGCGGGCAGCTGCACCAGTCCTACCAGGACTACGGGTGCTCAGCGGAGGAAGACGCCTTGGCGGGCGGCCGCATGGCCTGCGAGGTGGACCCCAACATGGAGATGAGGGCCTTCACCCAGGCTGGCTGGTATCTTAACTGCTATTGGGTATTGGGTTGGATCTTTAGACTTTAAGTTTTTGGTTGAAATCAAGGGGTTTTCCACTAACCCCCCAAAACGTTGAACACTTTCTGCAGGGGGTCAACAGCAACCAAGGTACGGGGCGCCTGCCCGGCTGTTTTGCGCTCCCAAAAGCAAGGTGCCCAAGGCGCCGCGCTGGGACTTCAGCAGCCCCTGGTGCCCTCAAGAAGGCGGTTGGGGGTACGAGCCGCCTTTTGCGGACGAGGTGGAGCTGGGCACCTACTTCGACTATGTGAACTCGGGCGGAGGCTGCAAGGACTACCAGGGCATCAAGACGGGCGGCTGGACCTTTGAGGGCTCTGGCTGTGTGGACGGCGCCTGTCCGGGAGCAGATGCCCCACTCTTCGGACAGCCGGAAGGCCGCACAGACGTAGAGGGCTGCTGCTGGTGGGGCAGAGGGGTCATCCAGACCACGGGCACTTGCAACTTTGGAAAGCTGAACTTCTTCATGGGCAAGCGTGCAGCGGATGAGAACCGCGCCGCAATTTATCCCTCCATTGACTTCTGCAAGAACCCCAACTCCATCTGCGACCCGAGCAGCCCGCCGGAGCTCAAATGGGTCGCAGGCATGTTCTACTGGCTCAATGCCGTGCAGCCATACAACTCAGGAGGCTGGAACTACAAGACCGAGCTGAAGAAGTGGGTTGATGGTGGAATGAAGATGAGTGACACGTCCTTCATCAACGGTGCGTCAGGCATTGTCAACCGTGGCTGCCACAACCCACCAAACTGCGGCACGGGCGAGCTTCATGCTGGCCCCGAGCGAGCCACCAATTTTCAGAAGGTGCTGAAGGCAATGGGATTAATTTGAGAGCTCTGAATTCATTCTGCATGGGAACGCTCTGCTGACAGTCAGATAGGGTGTTCTTGCCAGAGGCCAGAAGATACTTTCACAATCTTTTGTGACTGCATTTACAAAGCGAAGATGCGTCAAATATCTTCAATTCATGTAGCTTCGCCTAGCTGCATTTTGAGGGAGGGAAGGTGCGAGGAGGCATGTACAGGCAGCAGCGAAGGGGGCGAAGAGGGCTGTGAAGGCACCTCTGCGCCGCAACTCCCTCGCTAGACATGCCATAGGCAGCCTCTTTGCACCTTTCCCGCTGGGAAATGTCCAGCCCTCATTTTAGTTTTTTCCCCCTGAAGGTGCTCCTGGGCTCGTCCCCGGCTTGCAATCCCAGGCTCGTCTAGTGGATGACTTCTCCTCCTGTGAGATCACCACGCCCATGACAAGCTTGCTGAGGGGAAAGCAGACAAAATAGACGGATCGATGCAAGTCTATGCACATATATGTATATACACATATTTATGCACTTATGTATTGAAGCATGCAAGCGTTTCTATATACCATTAACCTCCAGAGCCGTGCAACTCATCCATCCTAGTTATCGCTGGCCCCGTCCAAGGTACTACTTGGCCTACGTTGCCAAGGATGAGGCCATGGGGCGAGTGTCACCGTGCACTTGGTGTGTGTGTGTGTGAGATTGTTAGACCCATCGGGTCCAACAGGAAACTGACCCTAGCATGCGCAGGAGAAGGCAGATGAGTTGTCCCTCGGCAGAAGAAAACGATTCCGAGCTCTCGGGCCAAGACTCCAAGCCCTTTGGAGCATACCCCTCCCATGAGTCCGGGGTATGCTCAAAAGGTATGCTGGAGGGTTCTGGGAAATATGGAACAAGCAAGCCTCTTCACGAGTGTTTTTTGTGGAGTCTTTCTCCTTGCCGTGCATGCTGTGCAAGCCTGAGGTTCGGCAGATACGTGGAGCCTTGGCAAAGATTCCGGCGTCTGACCATTCCTTCTGACATGCCTGCCCTGTTATCGGCCAGTGTGGGCCATGGGCCAATGGGCAAATTCGCCTTTTCCAGTCCCAACCGCTTTCCAGGGGGTAACGCAGGAGTTGGCCCAGATATTTCCTGCCCCCCCCCTCCTTCTTTTTGTTTGGAAACCTATTTATCATAGGGTACCCGGCCCTCTTTTTCACAGGGACATGGACCTTTCTTTGTAAACAAATAACAGCTACAAAACAAAACAAGAAGCAATTTTGAAGCAAATCTGGGCCCTTTGCTTTTCGATTTTGGTGGGCAGCAGTTGGTCAAGGGGTTCAGCATTGGGTCAATTACAGTAATGGGGACGGGGTTGTTTTTCGGCGCTTGCCTGATATCATATTTAACAATAGGTTGCATTTAATACTGAGAGGAGTGGACTAGAATAGGTACGCGAAAGATAAGATCCAGAATGCGTTGCATACCTGTCATACCTTGCTGAAGGTTTGGACGTACAGCGTGGGGCATGATGTTATCAGGCCCCATTCTCAAACAAGGAGTGTTGCCATGCCACGCGTATGTCAGCTTGATCCATTTCATTCTATGCCGCGCATGGTGCGGCTGTTTCCCAAGCCTTGTTCACATGCCCAGCCTGCAGTCATCCACCAGTTTGGGCCATGGGCAAGTTCGCCTTTTCCATTCCGCCGCTTCCCATGGGGTTCGCATGGTAACTGCCCAGTGACTCCAGTTGTTGCGTGGGACGTGGCTTGCAGGATGGGCGATGCAGGTCTGCAGGTCACGAATGCGTTGTGGCCCTCGCCTCGATGTCGATGGTGCTCAGGTCCACCCCATGTTGGTTGCCAACATCGTGGGCTGGAGCTTCGTAGGAGAGGGGAAGGGGGTGGGAAGGGGGGGGGAGGGTACCATTTCTTGGTCGCAGCCCATGTAACACATGCGTTTGCGCTTAGTGAGTGAGTGTTGCAGCATGAGCTATCTCTGGTGTGTGCTCCGCAGCTTTGCCATATGTTTGTGTTGGCGACTTGGGGTGCTATCAGGATCCATTCAGACCCCATTCCATGTGCGCTACCGGGAAGAGCTGGCGAAATGCACTTGCACGCCCTCAAGTAAGTGGCGCACAGGGTTGAGAATGAGAGGGAGCGCTCTGTGGGAAAGGGCGAGGGTTCATGCACACCAAGAATAAGTTGGGGTGGGGGGGGGGACAGACTTGGCAACATGGTCCGGGATGGGCTTGCTAAAATGAGCCCCAGCGAAGATGCTCTTGGGCAAGCTCTTGGGAGTGGTTGGCAAAATGCATGGCGAGCTAACGGATGGCAGGCCTGCGTTCCTGGGCGCGGTCTTGGCACATTCTCAACGTTGAAGTTGCGGCTACTTGTGATCATAGTTCTCCAATGACCACTAGGCTTCAGGCCGCGTGTTCCAATCGCCTGCAGCCCGGTTGGTGCTGCAAGAGGGATGGAACAAGACAGTCATCAGCACCTGGAGCACGAAAGTTTCTTTTTGAGCGCAGTTGAAGCCAATAATTTTGCCTGTCCTATTTTTGCAACACTCCCACTTCTGCAAGATCCCATCAGCCATGTAGCAATTGTTGACCACCCCCACCCCCATGGAATCACCATCCCTTGTGGGCTTCAGAGGGTGGCTTCGTTTTGGGACAGCTCACAAACGGGCCAGCCTTGGACCTTGGACGCAGAAAGTCGTCAACCCGACTTTCCGGGTCACGGCCTAGTAATTAATAGCTGAATTTATATGGCTTCAAAGAGTCCAGCCCATACTGGGAATAACATGGGTCCGAGTTTGGTCTAGCTGTTTGCAGTCCCCTACCTTCTAATCCTAGAAAGGGCCTTGTGCGCTTCAGGGGGAAGGTGGCTTCGTTTTGGGACTCTTTATCGTCTTTGCGTCAGGGCCTAGTATTAGCTGAATATACATCCACCCGGAAAGGTCCGACTTTGGCCTTGGCTCTTTGCAGTCCTGGGCGTGCTTCTCCTGGTGATCCTCGTGGTGATCTTCCCCAAGATGCGCTCCGCCGCCGGCTGCGTGGAGTGCGCCTCCCGGGCGATCTGGACCGAGCCCTCGCGCCTCGCCCGAAACGAAGCGGGGCGGGGGAGCGGAAGCGTTGGGGGGGGGGGGGGGTTGGGGGTCTGGGCAGGTGGGGGGTGGTGGGGGGTGGTGGGGGGGGTGGTGGGGGGTGGTGGGGGGTGGTGGGGGGTGGTGGGGGGTGGTGGGGGGTGGTGGGGGGTGGTGGGGCGGGGTTGGGAATTGGGGGCTGTAAGAACCTAGTGAGTAGGACCCGGACGACCAGTTGGGCCAAGGCGCCTTGTCCATGGTTGAGGCTTGATTGCTGGTTGACATGGACTTTTATGCAAGCGATGCCCACCCAAAGTCCATAGAACTTGACCTCCACAGCCGTGCAGCAATTGCCCTGCGGCCTGGCTATGCAAGGCACCAAGCGTCTGATCGGTGCACTCAAAATGAGGTGAAGCAGCTCATGAGAATTGTACGGGAGTGTGTGGGGCCCGTAAGTCCCCAATAATTTCTGCCATCCGCATGAAGGGCTTTGGCAAGGCAGCAAGAAAGCGGTCTACTTGGGACTAGCTCGCTCCAAAGTCACTGCCCAGACCCACACGCACATATACATTCACATCTATGCAATATTGTACACACACACATATCTATCTATCTTTATATGTATATGTATGACAGGGGCACTTATTTAGGTCTATACGTCGGAGAATGCACTGGAGAACCGTGGGGGTGTTGTAAACACTCACTAAAATGTGTGCCCAGAGTAGCATCCCTTGGGATGTCAAGGGCATGAGCGCGTCATAACTGATGGGCCTCAGCTTCAGTGCTCCAGATGGGGCTCGGCTTCAAGAAGTCAGAAGTCTGCTCCCACTTCCTTGGCTGTTGATTGTTGCTCCATCATTGGTGCCAGCATTCAGGGTCCCTCCATTTCACATTTTTGGACGGCATTTTGCTTGGAGCCCACCAGTAAAAAATTGCAACTTTCTGGGTTCTTCCCCTTTCGCCTGCCACTTGGTGACTTTGACCATGGCAACATCATGGAACTTCACTGTTCTTGGCATGTGTTTTGCTTTTTAAGTTTTTTGGTTCTGTTCATTTTTACTGGGGGCTGCAAAAAACCTAACGTTTTTTTTGCTACCCCCCAGAGTAGAGATGTCTCCTTCCGTCTTTTGGCCAAACAGCGGTGGCGCTTCGGCGAAGGCTCCTGCGCATGCCCAGCCTGGAGATCTTGGTCAAGGCGCTCTTCACGGGCACCTGGCCGCGGCCCTCGGAAAATTCCGAGACGTCTGTCCCCCCCCCCGCTGGCCGGGGTGGTTTTCTGGGTTCAACTTAGGCGTTTAGTTGTTGTTTGGTTGGTTTAGTGGTTGGGTGTCCATGTAACCCGCGAAAGGTTAAATTTGCAGCGGGGGATCAGTTTGGACAGGCCAGTTTTAGTTCCAGCGAACATCGGCTACCATCCAGGCAACCCCCGCCCACTCGTGGGAACCCTGGAATGGGTCTTGTACGAGGCTGAAGAAAACTTGTGGGCTGGAGCGTGCTCAAGGCCATGCATGGGGGCACGGCCGAAAGGCTGCATATGTGTTCTCATGCCAACAGCTTATTTCTAGATGGATCTTACGGCAAGCCTGGATGTGGGGCAAGTCCTCACCAGGCAGAGCACGCTTCCGCAGCATTGATGATCTCCCGCCCTTGTCACCATTGAACATTTACTTATGGGTGGCTCACAGTGGAGCCCTTGGTGGCATTCTGATTCGTTTGGATGACAGAGTGTTGGAGCCCGAGGCTGTTCCTGTTCAGCTATGTGGTGTCGAGCGGTCATATCGACACTTGGCGTCAGCTCACTGGGTGCGCTTACCCTTGGATGTCATTCATGGCTTTTGTGGGGACGACTGAGGGGTGGTGGACCCCCCACCCCTCCCCCTGAAGGTAGGGGGGGATCTTGACCCCAAACCAGTGCAAGGCAAGGAGCAAACAAGCTGCTGGTCAGCTCAGTGGCCAAAAGTCAGGAACCATTGGTGAAGGGGGCCAGGGCGGCCAATGTCGCACATGGCTGTGGGTCAAAAATAGGTACCAGCAATGGAACCCTGTTAAATGGAAAGAAAAGGACTAAAACCTGCGGTCCCCTGATGGTTCAATTTTGACCCATACCCACATTTCCAGTGACTGCAAGAACCCAACAAGTCCCAAAACAGAAGCAAGCACGATGCTGCACGAGCTGCGAGTTGGTCAGGTTGTTCTTCGCATGCACTTCGGGCAAAAAATATGTTCCAAGCGACTTGATCTAGTTTTTTTGGCTCATCGGCACCGGATGTTCTATTCTTCGTGTTGCAGAAGAAGCAGCGGCATTGACCCTGACCTCAGTGGACATGGGCTGAGCAGTCTTCAACATCCAGATGTCAAGCTTTGCAGGTGCAGATTCTGCGAAGTCCGAGCGCAGTGTTCCCCCCCCCCAAACAGCCCACCGATTGGGTATGGAAGATTTAGGGGATACATGTTTGATAGTCAGTATCAGCCGGCACATCACGGCTTTTGTGGATCTTTTCATCGTGGACGGACTTTGTGGCTCAACATCCGAACCTTTTGGGCCTTTGGCGCCCTTCCTCTTGTTTCCCTGTGTTAGTGGGACCACCCCCCAAAATTGTGGTTTCCCTCTGGTTTCCCTTCAAAAACAGACCAGAAAGCGGTACACTCAACCAAAAAAAGGCGCCCCCCCCTCTCTCTCCTCCCCCCCTCCCTCCCAATTCTGGTTGATTCCCATTCTCTTGCGCCCTGACCGCCCGTCCGGCGATTTTCGAGGACCCGCCCTCGCTGGACGTGAACGGCGTGCCCGTGTACACCCGGCTGAGGCGTTTCGGGTCCTCGCCCCTCCAGAAGCCCGGGGCCTCGGAAGGAGATCGATCTGATGGACGAGCTCACCATGAGAAAGGCCCTTTGCTCGGGATTCCCTTAAATTCAGCTTTGGAAACGGCTGTAAGATATGCAGATCGATGGGGTCCGGGGATATATTCTCCGAAACCGGACCCAAACGAAAACGAATTCGCTGGTTTGGTTGACTTGGGGAAACATGGAGGGTCCTGGCTTACCAGTCGGTGAAAAGATGTCCAGGCCCATCTATCCACAATTCGAAAAAAGACGTAACACGGGTCCGTTTTTTTTTTTTTTAAATAAGGGGGGGAGGGAAGACCTTCCTTTTTCCATGGTTTTTCAAGCGAAACCAGCAAGAAAGCCACCATTTTTCTTTTTGCCGGGGGGGGCTTTTCGCCCATTTGAAAACGACATAGCGCCAGAGGCGTCGCTTTGGATCGTTTAGTTTGGGTAGAAATAGATGGGTTCCACTGGTCTAGATGGGTTCATTCCATTGAACAGGGCCATCTGTTTGTCGAAGAGTTCCCCGAATCAAAGGTTGATCAACAGGTTCCAAAAGGGTCAATGGAGGAACTTCGAAAAAGACAACATGACCCCAGCCTTTTTCAAGGTTTCCGAGCCAATTCCCATTTTAGAACCTCCAAAAAGACAAGTGGCAGTTTCAATGGAAAGAACCAGTAAATTGATCAACATTTGAAGGGGACATATCAAGAAAGACAGCACAATGTCAGCTTCTTTATTTTGGGGTGCCGGCTGGAAACGTGAAACGTGAGAGTGTGTTAAAGCTACAGATTTCTCCAGCGTGTCCTTCTCATGCTGGTTCCTTGTCCACTCTCACTGGTGCAATGGCCTCTGAATTCATACAGATAGTGCCAAGGGCCACGGGAAAAATATGTCCTTTTCGTGAGGCATTCATGTTCTGGGAGTAAAGCTTTGTCAGCCACATGGATGTAAACCGATCATTGCAGAGGCTTTAAAATGCTGGCCGGAGCATTCGCTGGCCGCACCAAGGTGTTATGTGGCCTTTTACATCATAGGCGCGAAGCGGGTTTAGTCTCACGGCCTTGATTTCTGTGCATTCCCCAAGCTAGGAAGCTAGCACTTTGTTTGAAGGCTGCCATGCTTTTTGCCATTGCACGGGCTTCCAGGCGAACCTTACTACACACCCACACACACCCACACACCCACACACCCACACACCCACACACCCACACACCCACACACCCACACACCCACACACACCCACACCCCCACACCCACACACTCACACACCCATACACGCACACACGCACGCACGCACGCACGCGCGCGCGCGCACGCACGCGCGCACGCACGCTCGCTCGCACGTGCGCGCACACGCGCACACGCGCACACGCGCACACACGCACACACGCACACACACACACACACACACACACACACACACACACACACACACACACACACACACACACACACACACACACACACACACACACACACACACACACACACACACACACACACACACACACACACACACACACACACACACACACACACACACACACACACACACACACACACACACACACACACCCACACACACACACACACCCACACACCCACACACCCACACACCCACACACCCACACACCCACACACCCGCACGCCCACACCACACGCGCGCACACGCACGCGCGCACGCCGCGCACGCGCGCACGCGCGCACGCGCTGCGCGCACGCGCGCGCGCGCACGCGCGCACGCGCGCACGCGCGCACGCGCGCACGCGCGCGCGCACGCGCGCACGCGCGCACGCGCGCGCGCGCGCGCGCGCGCACGCGCGCACGCGCGCACGCGCGCACGCGCGCGCGCACGCGCGCACGCGCGCACGCGCGCACACGCACGCACGCGCACACACACGCGCACCACACGCACACACGCACACACGCACACGCGCACCACACGCACACACGCACACACGCACACACACGCACACACGCACACACGCGCACACGCGCACACGCACACACGCGCACACGCGCACACGCACACACGCACACACGCACACACGCACACACGCACACACGCACACACGCACACACGCACACACGCACACACGCACACACGCACACACGCGCACACGCGCACACACGCACACACACACACACGCACACACGCATATATAACGCATATATAACGCATATATAACGCATGTATATTATACATATATACATACATATATATTTATATTTGTACGAGCATATGTGATTACATATATATATATATATGTTTATACACACACACTATTGCACTTCCTCTTCTTTCTTAAGAGGCCTTGGAGAAAAGATTTGCGAGCGGGCAGTGCCATTAGTTCAAGAGAGAACTGTTTGGCGACTTGTGACACCGATTTCTCCTGATTGCTCCCCTGGCAGCATGGGTCATGATGGATCCCTCAAAGACACTTTAAGGCCAAGGACATTTGTTGGACCCCCTGATTTTGGGGGGGTGCGTTTTAGAGCCGACCCCTCCAGTTTCTCATGCCGTTTGTCCTCTCTTTCCTTTTGGACTCCCGCTTGGCACACGGGCAATGTAAGGGCAGTGTGCGGAGAATGTACTAGTAGGGAGTGGCAGAGATGCCGGATTGATTTGGTCGCCATTTTTTGAGGGATCTTGGTCTTCAAGACGAGGGCACCGCAGTCGCCCCGGTGAAAAATGAGGGCCTTAAGTATAATCCAACTTGAAACTGGGGATCACAGCCCCGTGGTCTTCGGCTTAAACCATGGGGTCTTGGGGGGGTAGGCCCTGAGATTGTGGCCGATTTCTGGAACTCGAGGCCTGGGAGTTTGGCTGGCTTGGCAGGATACTTCTGGACCTTGGAGACCATGAGCTTGATCTTCCACTTCGCCGTGAGTGCCTGAGGGTGTCGATAGGAGATTTGCCGAAAGTCGTGCTTGGTGGGTGGCCAACACTCAAACCGCAGCCATTTTGCTTCAAGTGCAGCAAAAAACGCGTCTTACTCCCGCGCCATTGGGAAGGCCAGAGTAGCCATGGTGCTGACGACTGCCTTGACCGAGCTCTTCAAGATCAAGCACCCGATCATGCTTGCGGGCATGGCGGGGGCTGCGGGCCCAGAGCTGGCGGCGGCGGTGACCAATGCCGGGGGCTTGGGAAACATCGGCGGCGTGGGGTTTCTTGGCACGTCCCAGCCGTCCGGCGCCTTACGTTTTTAATGGCTTTTAGCTGGTTTAGCCTTTTGGTTTCCATTCAACCCACTCAAGGTTAGTCACTTTTAGCAGGGGATCAGAAACCGGACCTGTAGCCAGCCCAGGTTTACACCAGAAGCCTTGAGGAAGACCATCAAGATGCTGAAGAAGGAGCTTGTGGACAAGGATGCCCCCTTCGGAGTGGACTTGCTACTCCCGCAGGTGGGCGGAGGAGCCCGGAAGACCAACAAAGACTACACTGCCGGCACCCTGCCGGAATTGGTGGACATCATCATTGAGGAGAAGGCCGCTCTCTTCATTTGTGCGGTGGGTGTGCCTCCCAAGTGGGCGGTGGACAAGTTCCACAGTGCCGGGATTCCAGTGATGAACATGATCGGCGCGGTGAAGCACGCAGAGAAGGCCCTGGAAGCGGGGGTGGACATCATTTGCGCGCAGGGAGGCGAAGGAGGCGGCCATACCGGCGACACGCCCACCTCCATCCTGCTGCCCAAGGTGGTGGATGCCGTGCAAGGCAAGGTGTCGCCACTGACGGGCGGCCCCGTGCTGGTGGTGGGGGCGGGGGGTATCTTCGATGGGCGCGGCTTGGCGTCCTCCCTCGCCATGGGCTGCGCGGGGGTTTGGGTGGGCACCCGCTTCATTGCCTCCGAGGAAGCCGGCGCGGGGCCGTTCCACAAGCAGCGGGTGGTGAGCGCGGACTACGGCGACACGCTGCGCACCACCATCTACACTGGGCGGCCCATGCGGGTGTTCAAGACCCCCTACATCCTGGACTGGGAGCAGAACCGCGCCAAAGAGATGAAGAAGCTGCAGGCCATGGGTGTGCCAGCCTGGGTGGCAGATGTGGATGAGTTGGAGGGGGGCGCCTCCGTGGGCACTCTTCAGCAGGCGGAGGTGCTGACTAAGGAGGAGAAGTCCAAAGGATTGCAGCTCACCAGGAGGCAGGTCCGCGAGCGGGGGGTCTTCCTGACGGGCCAATGCGCCGGAGCCATTTCGGACATCAAGCCTGCCGGACAGATTGTGGAGGAGATGGCCAAGGAAGCGGAAGAGCACCTTCTTGCAGTTAGCAAGCTGGTGTCGAAGCTGTAAAGAATTGCTGAGACGAGTCTCTCGGTGGAATTTTAAGTCCACCGACAATTTTGTGGGCCTGCGGCGACTTGCCTGGCGCATTGCCTCGCGCGAAGCCGGTGCCTGGCTCGCTTGGGGCCCGCGGCGATTGCTCGATCGCCTTTGTTTCTGCCATGGGGCGGTGCTTTGGGATGTTTTGTCCAGTGCGCTTCGGGTGGCATGAGGCCACCTTGCACGAGGGCGATCCGTGGGAAACAAAAGCACGCGCACAGAAAAACGCCAAACAGGGAACATGGGAGCGATGGGGGTGCATGTTTAGTCTCAGTGCATGGAACCAGACACGTGCACGAGAATGTCTCAATGTTCAGAAAGTGTCGGCCAATGGTCAGGTTCTTTCTCCTTTGGGGGTGCAGGTCAAAGGCTTCACCGGAGAAACACTTTCTGTGGAAGCATCCCTACAAAAAGAACAATTTTCGCTCCTGCACAGGTGGTCGTTGAGAATGTTTTCTTCGTAGGCGATTTTTTGTTCAGCACGGTCGGGGGCCTTTTCGCATCTCAGGCTTGCTGACAGCCTTAGTTGCAACTCATTGCGCTTGGAATCCCCATCCTTGCTCAACGAACGCATTCAAAAAGAGCAGCTTCTACCAAACTAGGGCACCCTCCCCAGCTGCACGGAATGGCACGAAGTGCCCAGAGCCTTCGTTGGACGACTGCTCTCATGGATGCCCATGGGTCATGCCCCAGCTTGCGCTTAGGCCAGCTTCTATGCAGTGAGCTGGTACTTCACCCCCTGCAGGCCAGGGACAGGGCTGAGGGCTGTCAAGAATATGTAGGAACAACAGGCCAAGGACGAAAGCATCCTGAAAACCGCTGGGGGCAATATGGGTTCGCGAGAAAAGAGACCTCGTTTTGCCTCCATGTGGGTCATCAGCGGTGTTCGTTTGACCTTCCCATGGACGGCTGGCCATGCCAGATCTGGAGCCCAGATCTGCACCAACGATCAAGACCTGATTTCCCCAGGGCGGACGGCAGCAAAGCGGGCCTCGATGGCCACATCTGGCGCACTGGCGTGTGCTACGCCCTGAGGCGGGCGCTTTGGCCATGAGTTGTTTTTTTTCAGGTTGCTGAGTCATGGCTCGCTCCCCCGAGTCGTTATTCGATTCTTTGATGTTCCTCTGGCACACATTGCCTTGGCTTTGGGTTCTTTCCTTTGAGCAGGTGGTGCCGCTTTGCCATGCTATCCGTAAAGGTGATGATGGTGTCCTCCAAGTGTCGCGACTGTTGTGTTTCTATACTCGGTGCTTTGTAGCTAGTGTGCTGGCATGTGGAACCTGGGCGGTAGTGGGGGGACCTTCTTTGGTGAACGTTGAGTTTGTAGTACGTAGGTGCGCGTTTTGTGACCGTGAGCGCCAAGAGTGATGAGTCAGCTTGCGGCGACTTGGGCCCTACAAGATGCCAAGCGCTCGGACGCCACAGACTCTGGCTTCTCATTTGGCCAGCCCAGGTCGAACTCGGCCTTGGGGCAATGTAAAAATCACACCCAGTGGCTTAAACTCACTCCCTGAGTTCCTTAACTTTAGTCACTCTTTGGCTTTGGACCATTTCGGTGATATTTCCGGACTCTAGTCACTTTTGGACCTTTTGGAGTTTGGACCATTTTGGTGTTGGCAAATATTTTGTTCGGTTCCTATTTTGGGCCCAGTCGCCTCGATCGAAAGGGAGCACTTCTTTCTTTGGGCCTGTCTCGCAGGTACCACCTGGGCAGCATGGCGATGGGTGCCGCCCTGACGTTGGTCTTCCGCAGGGGCCCTGTTAACGTCGCTTTGACGAAACCCCGGGCCTCCGCGCTCCCAAAGTGTGCGGGCTTCCGGGCCCCTTTGGCATGAGAAGTTATGGGAAACCCAGGGGCAGAAACCATTGGGGTCATTTGGCTGTGGGTCAAAAATTAGGTAACCCCAAAATGCAACCCTGGCAAATGGAACCAAGGACTCAAGCCTGCGGTTTCGTGGTGGTCTAATTTGGACCCATACCCATTTGCTGGCGCCAAGCTTGGTGGCTCAACAGCCATCCCCTTAGCTTTTTAGCCTTTTAGTGTTTCGTGGTAGTTTCCATTTAACCCACCAAAAGTTAAACTTTCAGCGCGGGATCTAGCCCAGACAGCAGTGGGAAACTGCGGGAAACCACTGGGGTCATTGGCGCCAAGGCCCTGTCCACGCCCCCATGGCCGTGCTGGCAAAGTTGCGGCCTCGAATTTGGGCCGATTTGGGCCCGGGAGAGGGATGGATTAGGGCGTTTTGCCGGAATATGGCCGTGGTTGTCAAAACCAATGGCGCCGTACCATTTCGGGGCAGGTGCACCACGCAGTTTAATTTTTGTTTAGTGGAGATTGGGATGCTCACTGGGGGTACGATTTGGATTTTGACCCAGGGGAACCCTTCAATTTCGCATTTTTTCTGGCTTTGGGACATATAGTATAGTAGCCCCAATGCGTCAAACCTGGGGATCCTTTTTGGGACATTTCGATGGACACCACCAGTACATCATCATTTGGGCGGGGTTCCTGAGTTTGAATACGGTGCGGTGTTTTATGGTTGCTTCACGGTTGGCGGCGTATCTTTGTTTGGCGGCAAAGTGCTTTAGCTTGTTTTGATTTGCTAGCAATGGGCTTATATGTTTCGTGTTCGTCGGCATGTGGTCCCAAAGCGTTGGGGGGACCAAATGCAGGGCATGGCCCTCAAACCAAATGAATAGGTGCTGTCGGTTGGCGCTGTTCAGTGCCACCCTTTTCCCTTTTGAGGGGTTCACCCATTTCTTTTTTAACAGGGTCGCTAGCCAACCGGTGTGGGCGCATGCGGGTCCTCTTGGCTTTCGCGCACTTTTGGTCCATGAAAGCTTGGCAAGCGGGGCAATCTCCTTTGCGTTGAGACTATTCATGTTGCGGCGCTTGCGCGAGCACATGTATCAACCCGTAGAAAACCTCAGCGCACTTGGGCACAAACCGAGGCTTGCTAAGTCGAGCCACAGGCAGGGCTTTGGGAGCCTTCATCGGGGTCTTGGGTCGCAAGGGACTTCTTGATGCACTTGTTCTTCTTCAAATTGATGGTCTTGGGTTGCAGATGCCCATTTTTTCAAAGTGGCCGTTTGGGTTCACGATGGAGAGGCCCTTTGGGTTCACGATTGGGACACAGCTGCGTCATCACCTTGTTCCCATTTTGAGATCAAACCTTTCGCAACAGCCAGCTCTTTTGCATGAGGTTGGCTCGTTTTGTGTTGGCCGCTCTACTTCTTGCGCCGGGAGCCATGCTCGAGTCCCGGCCCCTCCCCACTGTCTGCGTGCCACAAGACTTTTTTGACGGCCATCAGCAGCACGCAGCTGACTGCTGAAACGCGGCCCTGTCATCTCTGCTATGCTGGCCAGCTTCACTTCTGGAGCCGCGCAGCAAAATGGCATGATGGGCTTTTGCTACAGCCTGGGTGAATGAATGTATTCAGCAAAGTCCTTGGTGCAACTGGTATGCCCAAAGAAATAATTGTTGATGTTAAAGAGCGCATTGTGCATACTTGGATGCCAAGAAACATGATCATTGAACTCGCCCTTGCTGCCGAAGTGGCTTTGCCGGATGACTGGTTTCTTTTCGGCCAAAAGCTTGCGAGGCATGTAGACGGGGACGAGGATGGTGAGGGCATCACTGAGCACTGCTTGGGCTGCGTGTGGTGCTTTGACGAGGTGGCTTGGAGCCCCAGATCCTGGCGTTTTGGCAACCATTGTGGCTGCCACCGCAATCCACTCTACTAATGTTGACCCTGGATGAATAAACCCCTGTTTATTAATATGGGGTGTTCCCCTCAAAAAGTGATGAGTCCCCACTAAAACCAGGGACACCCCCATATTAATCAACCAGGGGTTTATTGATCCGGGGTTAACTCTATCTTATTTGTATGGGAGGTGGTGGATGTCGACCAGCTGTTGTGACAGGGCGCGGAAGCGAAAATGACCCGCCATGACCGCTGAACCGCTGAGGTGAGGTTTGTGAACAAGAACGCGATTATTTGTATGGCTGTGGCCCCAGTGAGGTTCCATTGCTCCAACAATGCTTTGCTGGGGTGTGGCAGGTTCATGGGACGCTGTATGTGGGATGAGGTTCCTCGTGACGTTGATCATCATGAATCATGGCGGGCTTTGGGTGTTATAGCTTGGCGCAGTTCGGGCGAGAAGCGATCAACAAGAGGAATGGAGGTTGCCAAGACTGTTAAGATTGACATGGGTGTGGTTCAAAATCAAACCACCAGGGACCGCAGGTCTTGGTCTTTGTTTCCATTTGCCAAGGTTCCATTTTGGGTACATGTCTTTGACGATGGCCGTGATGATCAAAGCGCTGTAGCCCCCATGCACTCCAGGATCCAATCATAGGGCACCGCAAGCAGCAACAAGCCGCGTTAAACACCCTGAGCATTCAGACCTCTCAAAACAAGACTAAAGCAGTGGCCGGACAGCCAAATTGGTAGCTAGGTCATGCCAGAGGATGTTTGCGATGGCCACAGAAGGCCTTTCTCCGGCCGAAGCAATGCAAGCATCCTCTGGCAAAGTCAGCTCATCCGATTCGCCTTTCGAAGCACCAAACGCCTCGTCGAATGTGCCAAGAGACTGACATCAAAATACAGTGCAAACCAGCATGTGGTCCATTAAGGAGGGACATGGGAACATGGTCCACGATTTGTTCGAAGAATAACTCCGGGGGCCAAAGCAACAAGGGGGCGCTTACTCCCTTAATGTTGACCCCATATTAATAAAACTCCAGTTTATGAATATGGGATTTGTTTCCCTCCAAAAGTGGTCTGATTCCCCACTAAGCCCGAGCACACCCCCTGTGAATAAACTGGGGTTGATTGATATAGTGCAGCCACATATCTTGATGCTGTGGCTCAAATAGATGTACCAAAATGCCACCTTGGTAAATGGAGCCAAAGACCAACACCTGCGTATCCCTAGCTGCTTAATTTTGAGCCACGCCCACATCTTGCACCGCGAGTAAAAATCCGGTCTGGGAAATCAGGTGCTGAACTCCAGCAGTTACTTCAACTCCGCCAGCGAGGCCGTGGCGGCCTTGGGACCATCGAAGCCCATCGAGGGACCGGAGCCTGTTGGTGGATTCGTGAAAAAAATGCAGGGGGCGTGGCGGCATTTTTTCTTCTGCTTCTTTTATTTGTTTCTTGATTTATTTATTTATTTATGTATTTATTTATTGATTATCTCTTCACATGATGTCCTTGGTTTTTTCCTCCAAGCTGAGCCAAAAGCCCTGCGCCAAGTTAGTGTCCACTGGCTGAGATGGGCTTGGGAAAGGGCCGCCTCTGCTTGCTGCAAAGAGAGGGTGGCTGCTGTTTTTCTTCCTTCTCGTGGGAAGGTTTCTGATAGAATTGTCAGAGGTAAGGGCGGCTATATCGGAAAACCGTCGGCGGAACCTCATTCCATCTGTCCTCGTTTCCCCGAAGTTCCACCAAATCGGCAGTCGAGGTGCGGGCTCTCGGCAAGGCGAACCCAGAGACCGCCTACCTGAACGGGTCCAGCGGCAGTTGGGGCCCAAGGGTTTCCGGCATTCCGTGAGCTGTCGCGTGGAAGGTCATGTCGCCGTTGCAAAAGCTGCGATACTTCTTAGCATAATTTTCCCCGCTCTCAGCGGCCTGTCCGGGAAGGCAAGAAAACCCCCCCCCCCCCAAGGCCCCAAGGCCCCAAACTATTCAAAGTGTCACCTTCCCTCCCCTTTGCCTTGGGGGTTGGGCCCCAGGGTCAAGGCCACTGCCTTGCCCTTCAGGCCCAGATGGGTGGCTCGTCAGGTCGGTATAAAACCCCGCTGTCTTTGGGTTTTGGGCGGTACCCCAAAAAGAGACAACCAACAAATGCCAGCATCTGGATTTCCCCTTACACATGCCCATGAATTTTCTGATGGGAAATTCTGGGTTAGATAGAGCTCGGGTTGCTTTTCACAGGGCTTCCATGTGTTCTAAGAAACGGAGTTCCGATCGGTTTGGCGATGGTTTCAAAGGGAAATACCAGGAAAACCACCATTTGGGGGTCCTCCAAATAGAGACACACTCACTCGAAAGGGCCCCATTGGCCTCGAACCGACCGAGGCCTTCACAGCATCGGGATGTTGGCAGCTGGCTGCCTCTCCGGATACTTAGCGCTGCTGACCGTGCAGGACGAGCTCCCTCCGCTGGAGTGGTAACCTCTGCAAAGCAAACGGTTAAAGATGGCGGCGCCTGTTCTTTACGGCTAGTTGGTAACGGATCTTTGGACTATAACTTTTTGGTTGAAACGGGATTTTCGTGTGGGCTCACAAAGGTTGACCTTTTTGCAGAGGGGTCTCGCCAGCAACCAAGTTTTTGGGACGCCGTTGGCACCTTGCGCGACCTGGGCCAAGTGATACAAAGGGAGGATTGCCATGTCAGTGACATGGCCTTCCCAATGCTTTCCCTCATATTCCCACTTCGATGTTTACTATAGTATTTCACCATAATACCTATGTAAACATGCCCTTTGTGGAAAGACGATGTTTACCACTTTATACTCCAAGCAAGGTTTGCAATGGGATCCGCTCATTTTTCATCCAAATGTCAAATGCGTCAGACCCTAGGTGAACCTTCCAAAGGCCAAGTTTGATGTTGCCTTTTGAAATATTACATCTATAATTGCAAAGCCAAAACTAGGCCCTTGGAGTGTTTCGCAACTGTGGCAAACGCCAGCTCAAAGACTTCATGCGCATCCTTGCGATTCGCATGATTGCAAATTCTCGGCCCTTTGACCTGGCCCTGCTTGTATCAGCTCTTCGTGCCCAGCCTGGCAAAGTGGGCAAACCCCGGCCCCAAGGCATGTTCATTGATCCACACCCAGCCTTTGAGAACACCCATTTGATCCTCATCACAAAATGTGTGAATAAATCTTGGATTGTAGCCTGAGCTGGCTGGGGAGCAATCAAGAACACCCAATCTAATTTCATAGAGGCACATTGCCGAAGTACCACATCTTGAAGTACGTGGCAGAATGCCTCAAAGGTCAACATAGCTGCGGTACACCCACGTATCGGTTTAAGATTAATCGAGGCTGGGACATGCCACTTAGGCACAATCACCCAGGCCAGCTCCAATCTCCTGATCCAATTTTGCAGTTTCACGTGAAGGGAACTCGTATGAGAAATAGAGTCCTGTTCGACATTCTGTTCAGCTCCAGGTAGGCCTGCAAATATGTCTTTCCAGCTTGCTCGATTGCAGTGGCAGTTTCAGGCAGCCTTAGTTGCGCTAGGGGTAGAAAAGCAACTTGGGCAGGTCAATGAAGTTTTTCAATCAACGTTTGAAGGCGTGTCCAAATAGGGACAGTTTCTTCAACCTCCGCGGCATGGTGCTGGTGAGCGGCAAGAATCTGGAGGCCCGCTCTGTCAGACCGAAGTACCGGTTGATTCCACTCCTTAGATCAGGGATCAAGAAATGAAATCAGGGACTTCAAGAGTTTCCATTGTGGTATGTGAAGTATTTTGCACCAGCTAAGAATCAGGGCCACTTCACTCAAGTACAGGCGGTCATCAGCAAGCAAGGAAACGATGTGCGTTCCAAGAGTTCTTTGCCCGCCAGGCCATGTTTGTGTTCTTACGCAGTGAACCACATTCAGCAACCATTCGCTGATCACCCTCGCGTTGTGCCCCTTCGCGTTGAGAAACATACCATATTCCTCGTTGAAAAGCCCATAAAAATTGAATTTTCTGTGGCTGCACTGTATGTGCATCTGTTTCCTCCATGGTGTAAAGTCAGAAAACGCGTTGTGTAGCGCCTCCTTGTAGCCCGCAGAAGTTCGCTCAGGAATGTCTCCAAAAACGCCCATGTGAAGCAGCATACCCCTTAGCTGCAGCTGTGTAACGACGTGAGTGAGCAATTAAGGTTTTCAACTCAGATGCTAGACAAGGCGCAGCACGCCACCATTTGATACTCCAAGAAGAGTCAAATTGACAATATGAAGAGTACAATGTTTGATAAGATCGATGCTAAAGAAGCTCAAGTCAACCAGAGGACCTTAGGTGTTGGCCGCGGGAAGGAACACGTGGAGCAAACATGTTTCATGCAAGAGGGCGCTCTTTGAACTGAGGGGCAAAGGGGTTCAGGCAGCTCCTCCACGATAAACTGGTCCGTCGAGCGGTAAGTGGTTTGCCAGCCGTTGGCAGAGGAATACATCAAATAATTTTTGTCCATGTTTGCAGGGCCAGTGCAAGCTTGGCATCTTGTACAAATATTTCGAGATCGCCAATAGCTTTGGTGCCGAAATAGGAGTCTGAACCAGCTCTGGTCACCACGAAGTTCTGACAGTATGAACCTTCGCCCATGTACACCCTTCTCGGTCGCGTGGTTGAAGGACTCAACTAGTACTTGCAGGATAGGGTAGAGCGTAGTCTCAGCATCAATAATCCTTTCACTTTCTATACAGCACAGGAGATAGCGTGATAGGCGTGTTGCTGTTGGTCGGAACAGTGGGAGGCTGAGAAAGAGTCCATAGATTTTGCTTTGGGGAGAATTGACCACTTTCAAAGCCGCCTCATCCCCATACAGCGCCATTGTCAGGAGTGGCTTGCCCAAAAGGGACCGGAACTGTTTTGTACTGAGCGACCACTCATCCTGCCGTGCATCCAAGTGCTCCCAGAATGCCAGAGCTGTTTGATCGGGGATGTGCAACTGGCACTGGTCCAGTAAGTACTCAATTACCTTGTGAGGCAGTAGCACAGGCAGGCCAAGTTCGCATATTTTCTCATCAGCATCCTTAATGGGCACCTTCACCATAGAAGGCTCCTTAACTGGACAATGTTTGTTCACATGTCAAGGCATGACTAGCGCAAGTGCCTCAATTGCTGCGGCGTTGCCAAGGGTAGCTTCATGTTTCGGAAGAGGTCACGGGCTTGATTTGTGCGACCCTTGTACTTGGCCAAGCATTCTGTCCAAGGCGAGGTTCTCCCCTTTGCTTCCTAGGTTGAAGTTCAATGATCAACCAACGCCGGCGCTTCCAAACTGGCCTTTCTTCAAGTCCAAGTGTCAGCAAAGGCTGCCCTCACAGTTTCCATTGCATCTTGCGCACTGCACGCCTGAGACAACGTTAACACACAAGCAAGCGCGGTTGAGTCATTTATTACTCAGTCAACCCCTGTTTTGCCCGAGTCTCACACTTACCCCTGCTCCCTTGAAGCAATGTTATCTGGGTTCACCCAAGTAGCTCCGGAGGCAATTTTCTCCACGGTGTTCTTCTCCAATGGGCCTTCACTAGGTCCTGCACCTGCGAGGGCATGGCAGTTTTGTCCAGTTACAAACGTAAAAGTGCTGCACATGCTCAAGACTTGCGTGATGGCATCCATGTGCATGCACCTTTTCCACACGGCAGCTTGCCAATCTTGGCATTGCGAAATTGGGAGCACAGACCAGCCGGGCTATGTGTACGACAAACAGCCAAACAGCATGCCACCGACCCAAGGCAATTAAAGCCATTCCCAGCCACGTTTGGCCAAGGTTTAAGGCCTCATTGCCACCCCTCAGCATGCATGATTGCATGTGCTATACACTGACCGAGCTGTCTGCCTACACCAAACAAATGGCAGCATTGGAGCCTTGACTTGAAACCAATAGGGCGTACAGTACAATGTACGTGTTTTTCATTGATTAACGTTTTCAGTGAAGGGACCCATCCGCCTTTGTATGCACAGCTCCAACTGCAGCAACGCCAAATATGCAAAACTGCCCCAGATCTAGGGCGTTGCCTTTTTTGGCTTTTTTTTGATGGGATCACATGCTTTCTCCAGCTCCTTGCGGGCCACTTCGCAGGCATGGATGACGTCTTGGGTGACCTGGCCAGTTCGGAGGCGAGCAAGCGGGTAGGTGTGCCGGTTGCGATTGGTCCATCTACACTAACTTGCCACAAAGCACATATGATCGGGCTCAAATGGGTTTGGCTTAATTATTCTTGTATCGTGGGTGCCCGAATTTGCAACTCATAGACCCCAAACTAAACTCTAGAAAAATCGTAATGCAAGTTCGAAGTGGCCCAGCCTTCGAAGCATCCAGGGCTGACTGCAATTCAGATCGCGTTGCCTGCGAGGGCATGGAAGGTATGGGGTGGGCCTAGAAGCAGTACATCTTGCCTCCACCACTTGTTGCTTCTGGTCCAAATCAGCTTGAATAGATGCAGCAAAGTTGGGACTCCTCGGCCAGACATTGGACATGTCTCTTGAGGCAAAAAATGCGTCTGGGTGCCCCACAAGTCGGTCAAGTTGGGCCGCAGCGACACCGCCCATTTGATCTTTGTGCTTGCAAGGGTTATGACCTGTCAAGACAAAAATAAATAGATTTTCGGGAGGATTCTCAAATCCAAAATTGAAGGCGAGAGGCAGGGGTATTGTCAATGCAACTGAGCTGACAAGCACATCGAAGAGTCCGCAATGTTTGCCCCAAAATTCAAAGAATAGGCCAAGAAGGGGAACTCGATTATGAAGGCACCTTCTTGGCTTCCTTGGCCATGTTCTGCTGGCGCTCCCGCTCCTCTCGTTTCTGTTTCTCCTCCGGTGTTTCTTTGTCCTTCTCCTTGCTTTTCTCCTTCTTTTCCTTTTCGGGTTTCTTGCTCTTCTTCTTCTTCTTGTTCTTGCCCTTTTCTTTGCTGTCATGCTTCTTGTCCTGTTCGAACTGCAAAAAGACGATGTGCGCTTGAAATCGACATAGGGGTCAAGGTGTGGACTTCAAAGACCAGCAAATCGGCGGATTTAGCGCTTAATGCCACAATCCTAATATCGGGTCTCCAATTTTTAAAAGGTATCTCCTGGATCCCAAGAAAACAGCCCAGATTGTTTTCAAGCACCGCTATGATGGGCAGGCCGCACTGCATTGCCTTCAGCTCCGACTTAGCCTTCTTCTCGGACTCGGAGGACGAGCTCGAGCTTTCATCCAGGCAAGAAAACAGCCGGTCAATTTCTTCTTCATGTGCCTCTTCTTCTTCATCATCCACCAGGGTCAAGAACTGCATCAGTTCCTGTCCACAACTCATCATAATTCGTCCAATGCATTTTTCAACGGGCTTTCATCCAATCGATTTGTTCATGGGTTTTCAGTTTGGAGCACCCGCCAGGCCAACTAAGAGATGTTAATCAAGCATCAAAAAACCAGTGGCGTTCTTCTTTGAGAGGGCCAACCCTTCAGAAGTATAGCCGGT